AAAAATTTCTTATTTAACTCACAGCCAATAGTACAAGCCTAGGTAAAAACGATATGTGTTAGCCTGAATTCCATTTAACTAATTCAATGGAGGATTTTTTATCAAAAAATCGGTGATAATAGTACCATAAAATAAAGAACTGAAAAAAATAGCGTTCTTTTCTCAGAATTATGTCAGAAAGCAATTGTGCATTCGTGTACCATATGTGCATTTCAAATCCAAATACTTTATACATTCCGATCGATCATTGGTCGTATGAAAATTGCTCGCAGCTGGAATGAAAAAAATATAAAAAGAATTGCAGAAATATGGCATCAAAATTACGATTGAAAATTCAGAATTTTTTCTATTTTAATGAATAATATTGGTAAAAATGAATATTTAATGGATCGCCCACTATTTCTGGTTGGAATTGCTTGGGAAAAAAAATATATGAAAATGGAAAAACGCTTGAGGTATCAGAAATATATATACAGAAAAACGCTTTTTAGAATCAGATTCATTAGATTTTTCAGTGATAAATTCACTAATGAAGAACAAATCAAGATAGTATAATTGACCGCATTGCCATGTATTTTCAAATATAAAATATTATAAATATTATAAGGAAATGACGAAACCTGAATTTATGAATAAAGTTCCATGTGAAAATTTCAATAAAAACACCCCCTACTTTTCAATATTTTTCTTAGGCAAATGAACGAAAATAAAAATGAATTCAGTGTTAGTTTATAAAATTAAACGTCTCTTTATTTTCAGAATATTTATAATATTTGTTCAAATAAAATAAAAATAAAAACTTTAATAATTTTATTAAGCAACCAACAATCAATCAACTACTATCGCTTAGTAATTATGAATTAAAAAAATTTTATCACTTGCTTGCATGAAATACATTATCGAAGCTATAAAAATTAAGAATCACTGATAACGATCAGACGATAAACGATTTATTCGAGAATTTTATAGATTTTGACGCTCAAAAAATGAAAAAATGCAAATGAAAAAAATTTTTTTTTTGACGACAGAGATGAAATACTTTTTTATATTTAAATTTCAACTCCTTAAGGGATTTTATTTTACTTCTTTATTAAAAATTTTATTAGAAATTAAAAATTTTATACTATATTAAAAAAAAGAAAGAAAAATTAGAATAAAAATTGCACTCTGTTTCATTCGAAGCAAAACGAATAAACAAGTGATGTGATTTGTGCCAATTTAACTTAAGCAGAACTGATACTTCTCGATTCTTTTCCTTTAATGAGAACAAATAATAAAATTCCCATTAAAAAATAAGTTATTCACGATAAAATATATATTGTTGGATGAAATTAAAAATTCTTATTTAAAATTAATAAACATATAAAGAAAATAAAATAATAAAATCACAATGAAATTGAAAAAATAATCGAAAAAATCCAAAAAGTGCAACAATCCAGAAGGGTTCCGTTGCAAAGCAAGCACTGTACATATCCTGAGAAACCATTTATTTGTACAAAAAAAATGATCAAAATGAAAAAAAATGCGATAAAATACAAAGTAGGAAAAAAAATAGTACAAAGAATAGAACCATTAAATTAGACCAATTAATTAACCAGAAATCAATATTCATTCCTCATCCAGGTCGCGTTCTCCTCGTTCAGAACATATAAAGACGTAAAGGAATGCTCGACAAACGATGGCCACCAAAAAAAAAACAATTTTTGAAGATAGGAGTAATCCTCCATTTAAAAAAATCCTGGCCACTATCTTCTATAGCCGAGTTACTCTTGAGAAAAAATAAGTCAGCGGAGCGAGCCAATTAGAAATGCGAGCATTCCCCACAAAAAAATTACAATATTTATTCTTTCCGAAACTCAGTCACTATAAGAATATATTTCAATTACGATTTCCCAATTAAAAAATTCATAAAGAATGAACACTCGAATTTCGTATTTCGATATACGAAACAAAAAAAAAATCAAATATGGTTAAACGTTATGCACTGGTAAAATAGATTAATAAAAAAAAAATAGAATGAAAAAAAAATAATCAGAAAACGGCACAGATAAATGGACTTGAACGGTGAAAAAAGAAGTGAACTCTCAAATACAGCAGTGGCTCGTTGATATCTTTATAGAGAGCGGAGCCAGCCTAGCCAGTAATGATATATATGCTGCTAGAGAGAAAGAATTAAAAATATGAAAAGGTAGTAAGTATAAAGACAATATGACCCAATATAATAATATAAATAATATATATATAAGAAGACACCAAAATAGATAGCGAAGATTGAAACCAGCTGGTCCCAAGAAAAAATCACTTACACTTAAATTTCTATAAAATCTCTTTAGAAAAAAAGATGTTAACATGAGTAAATAATTTTAAAACGTAGTGTTTCGAAGAAAAAAAGATAACCAAAACCGGCTGTTTAAGTATAAAAAAATGCATGATTGAATTTTGAATGAAAAATATCATTAAAAAAATTTTTAAAGAATTATAAAATTACTATAAAATTATTATAGAATTATAAAATTATAGAATTAGAAAATTAAACAATCCATGTTAAACAATCCATAATGAATTCTCTAGCGAAAGGACCAGTGAAGTCAAACAAACCTGACTGATGTAAGAATTCGAAATATACATAAAAAAAAATATATATATGTATAAATCTCTAAATATCTTTCAAAAAAATATGAAATATACAGGGCACTTCTAACCATATTTCTCAAAAAACAAAAAAATTCACATTTAAAAATTCATAGATTTAAAGAAAATAAGTATCAAAAAGGACTGAAAAAAGCCCACATACATTTTTTGACAGAATTAATTACTAGTTCTTCTGGTAACAAATCATTCATTTGAAACCAGCCTGTTCGTGGAATTTAGCAACTACTCGCCGTCTTCTTTGCAAACGGCAAAAATTATTCACATTTTCAGATTTTATAGCCTCTTGATCTTTTTTGGTGAATTTCTGGGTATGAGTAACTTGACGTGGTGAATCAAAATCCATATGGTGATAATTTTCATTCATTTTTTCCATCTTTTGATCCATATCTTTGAGCTCCTTTTTAGGCGAAGCTAATTTTTTAGAATTCCAGCAAATTTGTTGTTTAACAGAGGGTTCATTCGATGTGTTTCTGATACCGTTAATGATTACCTAAATTAAATTTGCATTAAATTTCACAGTCCAAACTTAAATTTGGAATGAAGTAAATTGTAATAAACTTTCTCTTAATAGATTTCATCTCTAAAACATGGGGAATCTAAAAAACATCGAATAAAGATGCAAAAAAAATGGCTCAAGTAACTTAAAAATGGCTCATTTATGGACCAATAAATTTGAAAGCAATTTGAAAAAATGTAAAAAAATTATTTTATGTATATCATAAAATAGTGCAAATATTTCCAACTTTTGCAACCCTACATTTTCTTAAAACATTCGATAAAAATCTAAGAATAATGAAATATCAGATGTCAGATTAGATAACCTCTCATAAGGCAAATCATTTGACTCTAATCCACAACATGATGCATGCAAAAAAAACCAAAAAAATTTAATTGACACTTTACCTGTGTAGGTTTCATATGTGATGGAAGATAATTTGGATTTGAGTATAAATTTAAGTTTTGAAATTTCGTTGTTGCTTCTTCTTCAACCTTTACGGGAAGTAAAAGAGATGATTCAGGTTCAATGATTCTCTTAAAAAAAGGATATTATTCAAATTCTTTTAAAATTCTTTCAAGTTATGAATATGAATATGAAAAAAATAAAAAAAATTAGTACAATCAAATCTGCTCACAAGTAAAGCATTACATTCAAGATAGGTTCAAACCATGGCGTGGTTGTGCTGATCAAATCCTTACACTGATAGGAAAAAGATTTCAAATTTCTGCAGCCTATCGTTTTGCTGACCTTATCGCTGCTTCCGATTCTACCGATAGGATAAGATTAATAGACTAGCAGTTTATGGAAAATGGTGTTGTCCCAATAAAATCAGACTTATTAAAAATGGGTTTTCAGGGTGTAAATTTGTGCGAAATGATGCTTCTGATATATGACATGGTGCGGATAATGTTCAATCAAGATTGCATTCTTTCCCTTAGAATCTTCAATTGTACGATAAACTGGGCCATGAATACTGCTTATCGGCCTTAAAAGATATATAAAAGATGCATAAGTCCAGAGTGTTAGTGCATGCAAGATGTTGGCCTTCTCGTCGACAGTTATGCAGAATTAGCAAAAGCTAAGCTAGTTCTCAAATCCACTCTCATAACCACCGAATCACGCGAAGGATGAAATTCCATCACGACTGCTGTAGCTAGAAATGCAAATTTCTGCGGAATCACTATAAAAAGAAGAAAGCTCGTGCTTATCAGGAATTCAAAAATTGTATGTATAAATCTTTAGACGTATGAAACCAATGAGAATGGAAGATGAAGAAGCCGACTAACTTTGAACATGTAAATATATTATCAGGTATATTTCGTGTATAAGATTTCACTGTCGATAATACTGTCCGCTCAAATATCGTTTATACTGAATAATTTTACAGAACGTCATTTCTGCTGATTAGCCCATGTTCTTCGTTGTTCAGTAATTCAAAAATATCTCCATACATGCTAAAGCTTGTAATGCATGGCATTAAGGTCCAATCAATCTTACGCGGTCATATTGAGCAAATAGGCGATATACCACGTGACAGAAATTTTTTCTGGCTTCATGGTGTCAGAACGGGAAGTTCTTATTGTAACAACCAGCGGAACTAATCAAACCAGGAATATTATGGGGCTATTAGAAAAAGAAGAAATCTATTAATAGTACAAAGGATAAAAGAAATGGTGCTGCACAAAAAAATATGGATAAACTGTTGTAAGGAAAATAATAAAGTTTTTATTGAATTTCTCGGACGTTTTTTCTATATTAAAATACTAGAAATACTAGAAAATATTACTTTAACATAAAATATCAAAAATATTTTTTGTAAACAAAAATTTTCTAAAAACAAATTTTCTGACTATAAAAAAATTGAATGAAATACTTGATTTTGATACGCTATAGGATCGGATTTGATTGAGGACGTATTATGAAATAAATAAGATGGTGGACGGCCATATTGTGCTGCAGTTGGTGAATATACATTTTTTGAAGCAAAATCCATTCCATTTCGCAAAGATGGTAAAACGTTATTGCAAAATTCAGAACTCCCAGGATTATAAGAATATTTCATAAAATACGAGTCCCTTTCATTCGATGGATCATTGATTCTCTGTTCTGAAGAATTCAAAGGCTGGAACGACTGTGAGCTCCGAAATTCTCCTATGTGTCTTGAATTATAAGGAGAATTTCGAGCAGAAGGGCTGAATGACCAATTAAACTTGTTTTGAAAATTTCCTCGTTTATCGAAACTAGAGTAATGTGGATCATCACATTCTATCTTTTTTTTCTTTTCGTAAATATTTTTATGTGCATTTTCCGATATTAAATGTGAATTGTTTCTGTTTAAAGACTGACGAGAAGGTGCACATTTAATCTGGACTTTTCCATAATCAAAATTTTTAGCTGTTGCAGAAGTCGAGGCTTCAATGCGATGTTCAGAATCAACATTAGCAGAGAAATTTTTGACTGGGTTAGTTGTTGCAGAACAGTATGAAGAAGAGACTTCATGATCAAGGCATGAAGTACGTAGCATTAATCTCCTATTGAATGAAATATTAATAAGACTATAAATAGGTACTGCAGCACTTGTGCGAATGCTATTCCTAAAAAATTACATTTAATAAGGATTTTTGCGATATAATTCATAAAAAAAAAGATCTCAAGAAAATAACTTCTACCAATAGACTAAAAAAATTTCATTATTACATAGTAATAACAAAAAAAAAAATAATTATTTAATGCAAAATGGAATTTTCTATGCAAAATAAATATAATGCCAAATAAAGATAATCCAGACTAACCGAATATTCTTTCCACCGAGAAAATAGTTATCAAAGATTACTTCAACTTTTTTTACCAGCTTCCCCGAATCAAAAGATGCCGGAATACCAATAATAGTACCTGTGGACCCAACAGGTATAGAAAGCACCTTTTTAACAGTAATAATCCGATCAAGTAGTTGAAATTCAACTAAAGGATCAGGTAATAAAGTGTTTTCATTATTTAATTCAATCTGAAAAATAGTTATCTTAAGAAAAAAAATTGTTGTTTGTTGTTTAAAGAAAAATTGATTAGATTGAATTGTTGTTCATTACCCACAGAAGTGCAGCAATAAAGTTTCACAATTCACATAGCGTCAATTCCGTGGGTGAATAAGAAAATGTGATAATAATGAAAAAAAAATAATTTTTAAGAGAAAAATAAATACGCTATAAAACTGGTCAGGACCGATGGCTATATCATTCGTACTACACTTGGCTGAATATGATTCCAGAGTTTTTTCTATTGCTTCTAGAGTTTTTTCATCAGCATAAAGATAATCAGCGTCAATCAATCTCGCTGTTGTTGAAGGTAACTGTTGAATATATTCGCGTAATTCTGCAAAAAATTATTTATTTAAAAACTAGATAAAGTGACATCATTTACTGGAAGATATCAAAACTGGAAGATATTCACAAGACTAACATAATGTTAATCTGCAATAAATTTTGAATTACACTAAATTATTTTACTACACTTACTTTTGCATTTTTCCCTTCTCTCATTTTCTGCCAAGCAAGGCCAAACTTCTTCTTCATATAAATCAGATTTCAAATTTTTAGATAAAGATGCAATAATTTCAGGATATCTGTAAAAACGATCACCTAAATAATTCTATATAAAAAATAAATAAACAAATAAAAATGATCACCGAAATAATGATCAATTAGCTGGTATAAAATTAATAACCTTAATATGTAGCCCTTTAATAATGATACTGTGTTCTCCGAAAATTGCCATTCTCCATTTCTAAAACGAGCGTAACCGGAGACCTGAATTTCAAAATCGATTTAAAAAAACACGAAGCACAATAATAATATAAAAAATGTGCAATAAAATAAAAATTAAATGTTGAATCAAACCAGTTTTAACAAAGGTCATTCATCGATTGCAAAAAAAAGAAAAAATCATTTTCGTTTAAAATTACATATCCATTAGATTAAAAATACTGCTTACAGAGAAAAACTTACAGCTTTCATCTTTGAAGGAAGTTTCAATCGAAGACCAATATTTATTTTATTACATTTATTTTCGCCACAGTTATTCAGTGAAACTTCAGGCCTTCCACCTGCGTATAGGAATACTGTCGTCGTTATTCGGTTAAAAACTGTTTTATTCACTAAATAACAAGATAATTGCAATTCCACACAAGCATTGATAAATATATAAAAACAGTGCTTCTTTCTTTGAACAGCACACATCATTTCTGGTTTAGCTAACTCCATTAGGCATTAAAACTGAAAAATGTGCTAAAAAACCACCTGCGACATCACATTAGAGGAAATTTCACGTTTATTGAAATATCTACTCCGTTAAACAGAATCGAATTTACGGTGGTTAGAGCAGCCGAAGCAATATCTCTCTTGTGGTCCAGCTATTAAATGAAAATAGCATAAACACTGATTTACCTCCACTGATTTATTATTAACATTCCACTTACTTAGAGGAAGCTGTTTTATCGCAATAAATGGTGGCATCCAACGAAGTGAAGGTAAATTGATAAAACATGTATCATTCTTTACCTCACAGCTCACCCTGAATGGATCTGAAAAAAATTCAGGCTCGTTAAATCCCACCACTTTTCGACCAAACTTCATTAATAAAGAAAAAATTGGCATGGGGAACAGTGGATTAAAAAAATAAGATTTTTACACATGACACATGCATTCCATTTTGACAATTAAAATTTAAAAATATAGAAAGATATAAAATATAGAAAGAATGTATAAAATACTTCCGCTTCATCGTCAACAATATCTATAGCCCAAACTTATTATGGATACCCTTTAAAATATAACAATTTGCTATTTTAATGTATTTGTTTATATATTTAAAAAAGAAAATCTAAAATCATCAAAACTTGCATATATTGCTTCTATTATCATTAAATAACCTCTAAACATTTCTCGAAATCCTCTTATTTGATATGATAACACTTGTATTTCCGTTGCCTCCGTTACTAAATACTTCCGCTTCATCGTCAACAATATCTATAGCCCAAACTTATTATGGATATCCTTTAAACTACCATCTTGTAATAATTCGACCCTTTTGGACTTCATTATAGTCTCTGGTTCTTCAAAATCTGTTATTCCTCACGTTCTTGATCCATTTAATCTTCTTTAACATTCCATTGACCACTGTCGTTTCTTTTTATCAAAGATGACATCCCTCTCAAACCTACTTACAGTTTATAAACTCCATTACATCGCGATCTTTAAAAAAATCCCGTCGTATTTTTTTACTAGCCCACTAATACATCCGAAAAAACCATCAATTATAAAATTTCATCAGTTTCGTCTTCTGGCTCGAAACTTTTAGATCACCCTTAAAACCTATTGCAGGAAAAATTTCCGAAGCTCAAGAATATTCCTTTAACTCTAAAAAACTAATCCTCAAAACCTCACTCTTCAGCCACAACCCATTAATAATTTTTACTCTCTCAGACTCAACTATAGCCTCTTAACACGACTCATATTCATTTTATTCTCTTAACGCTCTATCAAATCTCGCAATATACCTCTCTGATGCCTCAGTAACAAATTATGAATACTACAAACATAAGGGTAATTGAGAATATCGCTTATCGTTTACTCTCGTTATTATAGAAATATAATGGCAAATGAAGACCAAAGAAATACATTGGTGACCGAAGAAAGGGGGAATTACAGGAATTTAGTAGATAAGAAAACATTGCAGTAGGATCTGAAATATGTGAAAAAAAATGGGAGCTTTATGCCATAGTTTGATTTTACAGACCTGTAGGAGAGATTTCCGTGGAATTAGTATTTTTTACTTGAAAAGAGATCGCTAATTCTGAAAAAAAAAGAATACTCGAAAGTGCTTAACCCATCATATCAAGATAACATCACCTCAACAATAAAAAATTTTTCAGTTCAATGTAAAATTCGAAATAATAATATACCTGCACTTATAATTTTAGCAGGAAAGCCATAAAATTGCGAACCACGCGCCAGGACAAATCCTTTAGATCCAACCGGAAAAGCTTCTTCTAAGGATTTCATTTCTTTCATTTCGTCATCTTCATTCTTATTCTAAAAACTTTTCATTAAAATTTTATTAATATTAATTAAGGTAAATCTCTTTAGTAGCTTAATTTTGGGACAAATTTACATACTTTGGCTAAAATTGATTTTTTAAAATCAAATTTTAATTAAAATTAAATTAGCTTCTAAAATTAAAAAAGTTTTCACAATCAGTTTGTGCAATTTCAAAATTTTTATAGTAGATGACCAAAAATTGAAAGAATTCATTTTCAAGTTAGTTATTTTGTTAAATTTTGAAAATACAAATTCAATCAGATTTAAAAATCAGATTGAATGTTACATTTCAAAAATTTAATAAATTAAATGAATAAATTGATTACATTCATAATTTAAAAATTTTAGAACTCTTTAGAACTCTTAAACTGATTGATTCTCTACTACTGATGAACTATTGATAATTTTGCAATTTTGCAATGAGAGTTTGGTTTGTAAGATGATTTCATTACTTGAACAATCAACGGTAGAGATACTGCGATAGCATCACCTAAATCGCTCCACATCTTTTTCGTTTTAACGAAAAACTTATCGTTTACTTTCGTCACTACAGGTTGAAAACCGCAAAATTGCAATACTCGCACTATCCCCTTACGAACACCTACATCAATGCCATATCGCTTCATTTCACTGAAATACTAGAAAGATTGAAAAGATCAAAAATGTAAAAAAAGCCACAAAAACGAGACTGAAAAAAATAATACGTTTTCTGAATAGAAGATACCATTTCTTCGTAACAATCAACAGATTCTGGCGATAAAACGTTGTATTCGATAACCCCATTAATATTCATAAAATATCTTAAAATATCTAGGAAATATTAAGGAATTTTTTAATCAAAACCATGTCATCGAAGCGGATGACCGCGAGATTTATTTTAAATGTTATAAATCAAACAAATAGGAGAACAAAAAATAAGGACCAACTTATAATCAGAAGTCCATATTTCATGCACCAACCCTCTGGTCAAAAATGGCCAGCGAAAATAAACTTCCTTGCCAATCAAATCATTTACAATTTCAGAAATATCCTATAAAAGAAATAGGCTTTTCATAAGCTTTTAAAAATCTAAAAATATGGATCATTTTTTAAAATATATCATTTTCTAAAATAGAGTTTTTTGAAAATAAATAATAAACCTTTTCAAAATCAGCTCTTGGCAATATTTTCAAAATCATGGATGGTGTCCTGGAAGGAAAATTAAAAACTTGAACACCGGCATCCTCAAGTTGGGCCGAATGAGGGATGTGTTGCAATGTTGGAAATCCACGATAAGAAAAGTCCCATTTTATGCCTTTTAATAGACCAAACTTCACTTTTTCAAAGCTAATATGAAAGTCATTCATATCAATATTTTCAACCTTAGCAACACAATTTTTGATGACTTCATTATTTTTAAAAGTGAAGTCATAAGGATGCTGTTTGTCGGTGACGAATAAAAGATGTGGGCCGTGCGAATTTCTCAATTTCTCCTGGAAAAAACATAATTATTTAATTTTCTCCTAGCACATTCTTCTACATTATAAGAAACAAGAGAAATAAAAATGATTACCGAAAATTAAAAAATCCATATCAATGCCGCCCTCAAGTTAAATTAAATGGAAGATTTATTTCAATTTTTTATTTATTTCAATACTGAAAAATCGAAAACAAAAATCTATTTTTAAATCAAAAATTTTTAAAAAAAATGAAGAATATGGAATCAAAATCGAAAAATCAATCTCAAAATAAAACTTCATCATCAAGCAGTGGCATCTTTGCGTTTACGGCAGATAGAAGACGCGATTCATCGATAAATGGTATCAATACAACAGCTTCCCAATCGTTTTTCTTGCCATTCAGATCTGTAGAAAAATTTTCTGGAAAGAAATCACTGATTGGACTATCTGGTTGCAACATTAGTTCCTGCAAAAAAAGTTTCAAATTTTTATGAAAAACAATTTCCTATTACATTCAATAAATTGATTTCACAAATTTATAAAATATAATTTAACAGCCAAGAAAAATAGTGAAACATAAAATATTTCCAATAGAATTCTCATGAGATTTTGCAAAGAAAACATACTTGAAAAGGGAAAGGAAGGAGTTCTGCGCTGGATTTCGGAAGTACTCCCAATAACTGCTGGAATGGAAGAAATGGCTCATTTTTATCGAAATTTATTTCAAAATTCGAGAAATTTGTTACATCAGATATATATGGAGCATAATGATGAGGATAATACCTGAGAAGTACAAAATAATTAAATTGATGCTTGAACATTTTCATTTTAAAAGTTATTATTATTCAACTGAAAAAAATTTCCTTTAAAATTTTTTTTGTTTGGAATTTCTACGAAGCGAAAATGCCGATAGTTATATTAAAATCTTCTGCGATTTTTTGATTGCAAAAAAAGAAACCAGCTCCAACTGCAACAACCATGATAATAATAATGAAGATTCCACTGAATAGCTTTAACATATCCCTCAGCTTGAGCTTGAAGTTCTTCTTTGCTTATATTTTCATAATGCATTTTGTCAAAATAATAGTTTCGTTTATGGTCCTTGAATGCGCGATTTACTGATAAAGTCCATCCAATCTAATAATATTAAAGATATAAAGATATAATTCAAATATTTTTATTTTCTTCCTCGCTTCTACAATCGAAATGTAAAAATTAAAAAACAAGCTTAAAAAAACGTCTGCAGAATAGTATAGTAAAATTAATAGTATGAATTTAGTATTAATGAATTTAACTGTAAAAAATTAAATTGAATCTATTACGTCTATATCATCATCGTCGTTACCACTTTCTATCGTAAAATCGTCACATTCTTCTTGAATTTCTTCTTGAATTTCCCCAGTTATGGCTAAAATTATTAATAAGGATATGAAATACAACATTCACAATAAAAAATTTTGTAATATCGTATATTAAAGAACAAATTAAGCCAAAATTTTTGCAAAAATGAAAATAAATCAGTCATACAGAGATCGTTGCATATAAACTAAGAAAAAAATCATTGTGGAAAAGTGAAGTCAAACAGAAAAATAAATAATTCAAAAATATTAAGAAGCTAACTGGACAACAATTCAGATGCTCCAGGAATGTAATCAATCGACGAAATATTGTCAACTTGTACAGAAATTTCATCGTCAGAATCGAAGGCTCCTCTTATTTTAGATTGTTCATATGAATCCAAATTATTGGATGAACTCTAAAAAAAAGAAATAAAAAGACTCCAAAACTTTGGAAAATAAAAAGAATATTTCATCAAGACTAACTTCATTTACATTCCTTTTAGAAGCTAAATATAACTCGTCGTCCAGTTTTTCTATAAAACATTTCCGATCATTTTTCGCAAAATGCTTCAAAAATTTTTCAAAACGTGATAAATTCAAAATTCCATTCTCATTCATATAACCTGCAATTTTTCAAGTTTCCTTTTCTAATTATTTAAAATAAAAATAATTTTTTTCATTTTTAATAATTCTTTATCTAATCTAGTAAATTTTTAATTTCGATGAAATGATATTTTTTTTTAAAGCTAAATATAATATCAATTTCGCTGTAGGCCAACAATACCACATAAAAAGATAAAATATTTTAAAGAATTAAGTTTTTAAAGAATTAAGCATTTATTTAATTATAAAAACAAAGAAGCAAAATGAAACCAAACCATCCAACTCAGGAAGAACGGAAATATATGTTTTATAAAGAAGTGGTAATGCATTCTCATGAATATGAACACCAGGCAAATGTGGAATGAAATCATTGCCAACAAGAAAACTCATTAAAACCCAATCATCAATAATAGATTCTATATCGAACGGAAATGATAACTTGTTCTGAAAAAATGCAAATTATTAAAAAATTATTAACTAAAAAAAAATAAATTAAATAATTAAAGTTAAGTAGAACCTAATTCATATTAAATTTAAAAATAAATACAACATTTCGTTCAACCCACAGATTGTCTTAGAATTAACATCTTGAAATATCCACAAAACAAGTGTTCCCATAATAGTTAGAACTGTCTTACTTGAATACATATTCTTCTTGCTGTACTTCCAGAATACTACTACAATTCTTGCTGTACTTCCAGAATACTACTTCGAATCCGATTGTTTAAATATATAATTTTGGTTATTTTTTTTACCAAATACCAAAAATTTCCTCCTAGTTTTCGCAATTTACTATCTCCCTTCAATGCCCCATTAATACCCTATCTCTTTTGAATCCAATTTACCATTATGCTACTCAAACGTTGCCTAAAAAAAGAAGCAGAGCTAAACTGCCAAAGGAATATAACAGTGGCTTAATATGAGTATGATTAAGGCAATTTTACCAGTGATATATGCAAGAGGGAAGTTTGATAAAATATTAAGGGAATAAAGTATGGTTCCGTGGGAAGTTAAGAGAGTAAAACAGGTTCGAAGAGCGTGAAAGCCTTTAAATTGGCGATGCGAGGTCTTACAGATTGGGTTAGAATAAAAAAGAATATGTGGATTTCATAATTTGTTAAAGAGAAATAAATGAATTTTGAAGAGTGCAAAAAGATTTAAAAGATGTTGATGAAGATTTCCACAAAATATGATAGATTTATGAGAATAAAAAATGAGTTTTTTCTCGGACATTTACAATATATTTATTCTCTTATTAACAGCCTGAAAAAGTTCATAAGAAAAGTTAATAAAAAAGTAAGTATCAAAATGACTTTAACAGATTGAAATTCCCAAGAAATATATTCTCGCAATAAAGATATATGAAGAAGATGAAACTTGATCGCATCGACATCAAACCTGTAAATAGGACAAAAATCTTTAAAAATCATTAATTTTCATAGCAATATTAAGAAAAAATAGCAAAAATTTTCAAATCAATAAGATGTTCAAAATCAATTTTAGCCTTGAAGAAGAAAAATTACTTCAAAGATTTTTCCTTTTTAAATCCACCGAATATAATTTCCTCGCGTAGCAAAGCAAAATAAGGTTCATGAGAACACAATCCAAGCATTATCTGCATTTTTAAAAAATTAGTTAAAATAGAAAAAAATAAAAATCATTACCGATAAATTAGAAATCTAAAGAACTCACTAAATCGGCATCAAGCCCATAAAGGCAATGTCTTGTATTAGGATCGTAATCTGAACGTGATCGTTCGCAACGAATAAAATCCATTATTTTATGTTCACCTTCACCAGGACACTAAATAATAAATTGGAAATATACGATAAAAGAATGGAAATAAAATGGAAATTATTGAAAACATAGAAATGGAATGGGAATTAGAAAAAAATTAAAAAAAAAGAAATCCGAATAAACGAAAAAAAATATATTGAAAACAAAAATAATAAAAATAAATGGAAGAGAGTACAGACATTATGACCAGAAAGATAGATTTTGATGCCTTGCCAAGTTGGATCTGTCGTAATTTTCAATGCAGTAAAATATTGTAAGCGAGAATGAAGCCTATCCATGAATTCTGTTCCTGAAAATCCAAAACTATTATTAAGAATACTGTTTAATAATTTATGGTACTAGAATAGCTGAAAAAATAAATTTAAACTTTAGCTATTTAAAACAAATATTTGATGAAGAACTAAAGTTTATTCGCAACATGAAGATCAAAGAAAAAAAGATAACGATGTAAAAACCAAACAAAAAATCAAACAGTAATAAATAACTATTTAAAACACAGTCGACAATTTCATTTTATACCTGGTGTAATGCAGTTTGAATCGAATCGATTTTCAGTGGATATCTTAGCACCAGCATCAACTGCTTTTTTCAATGCTATTTCTGCATCTTTTGCGGATCTTAAAAATATAGAATTTAAAAATGCAACCAACTTTCCAGTGATCCAAATTGGCGACTGGCCTGTATTTTCATCGCCACATGATTCTCTGGCAAAAATTTTCTTGATCCAATTATCTAATGAAGCCTAACCAGAAATATCGAAAGCTCTTGGAAAAAATTTTTTTCAAACTTAAAATCAATGAAGGAATGTCAAATGCCCCATTTCGCATAGCACAACTAAATATAAGATGGTAAATTCTCATTCAGAAAAACTAACATCAAATATTTGATCAAAAATTTTTTATCGAACATTGAAGCATTGAGCAAGCCTAACCAGAAATGGTAACCATTTACTTTAAAAATGGTCCTTCATACTTTCTACTTTTTATTTCTTCCTTTCTTCTTTATCCTAAGTTATTTTGCCTCCATATGCCTTATGTAATCATATAATCCTATCTGCCCATTTTTTTTATCCTTCTTGAATGAAGAATTTAGCTAATTTACCTAAATTAGCTAAAACATTTGCGTAAAAATGTAACAATGTATTACCTACGTAAAAATGTTAAAATTACCTAAAACGTCTGGCACGCTGTTGATTCATTTTAGCGCGAGGAGCAACTCCATCGACTGCCATAAAGAAAACTTTTTTCGGCCTCACTATGGCAAATAAAAACTAAAGAGCAATAAGATTATGAAATATAAAGAAATAAAATTTGTAAAATAAATAATTTACAAAAAAAATAAAATTATAACTAATTTGTTAATACTGAAATTTAACTGAATGAAAATTTGATTAAAAATATTCTACTAAAAGAGAACCTCAATATATCTACAAATACCATCGAACATTTCGTTTTCTGGTATTCTAAAACAAACATCTGCATCGTCAATATGAGTACAATTATGAATTATTCCATTCATATCCAGGTATAAATTATCAAATTCTGGCACCTGAAAAATTAAATTAACATTCTTGAAAAAGATTAAAATGAAAGCTAAATCAAAATATTAAGAAAACAATTAAAAAATTAAGACCGATATTACAAATTTCAAAAATTAAACATATATTTCTACAAGAAAAAGAAAAATACACAACTCGCAACATCAGAAAACTTTTAGAACATCCTAAAAGTACGATTCATTTTTTAACCACTGCACTAAGATTCAAAAAGCTATTATAAATCAATCCTTCAGCAGGTCATCAGTGTGCTAATCTTCTTCGAATGAAGAATTCACAGGAAGAGACGTAAAGAATTGTATCTACCATTGTAAATAATTTCTTTTCAAAAAAGAGTCCATCTTGTGTCGTATTAGAAGATCTTTTTCATCGATGGTCATTCAATTCATGAGCTATTAAATTGTCTTCCCCATTGCACGCAAGTGTTTCCAAATAATTCATTACTTTTGCTAATAGCAAAAAACTTCTGGAATAATTTCGAGATCCATATTTCCAAGAATGAAGTTCATGAACCATCTGCCGTGTTCTTTACTTAGGTAAATTTTACCAAGAGTAGCTAATTCCATATTGCGAACTGCCTTTGTCGCTCGATGTCCAATTCTCACCAAAAGCCATAGTTCGAAAAATCACGCCGTTGGATAATAAATTTAATCACCATGTTATCCAAAAAAAATAAAAATCATCTAAAGTTTTTGCAATGAAAAAAAACTGGAGATTGCGACAAACAAAACGATGTATGACATGTCGGCGAACGTGATAAAACAACAAAACTTATAACTCAAAACTTATAATATAAACTTTTAGGATAAACTAATATAATTTAATATAAATAAAACATAAGAAAATAAGGAATAGGGAATCCACAATAAATTAATAAATGACATAAATATATTTTTAAAATATTTTTTGGTGAACCCATTTGAAAACAAATTAAATTAGAATAAAAAACTATTGAAAGATAAAAAAGAAACTAACGGAATTTTCTTCAACAACTTGACTTAAACACGGATATCGTTCACTAATCCATCGGTAAAACTTTGGTACACCCATTCTATTAAACTTTATTCAGTTAATACGATCTGAAAACATTAAAAACATTTAATTTGATTAGTTGACCCCAGTAGAAGGGCTCAATGCGTCGTTGCTAGGAACTTCTACTCCTCGTAAAGAGTAAAACTTAAAATCAGGGCGATGGTGACGATTCACCAGAACTTTTACCGCCAAATGACTCCCAGGCTGATATTTATGTGGCGCTAACCAGGAATAGTGGACGATTCTAAAAAAAAACCACCATTTAATCGAAGATTTTTATGGGCAATGAAAAAAAACTGCGGAATCAACAATTTCATGACAATATTCTAAATAACTTTTCAATTAATGAAATAATTTTTATCCTTAAACGATTCAACAACCCGCAACCTACGAATCCTTTTTATCTCCCCTCCGCTCAATCCCCTCTCCACACTCTCATCCACAATCGAAACCACTCGCAAAATCCAGATGAAAAAGCACTGAAATCATGTCTTCGTTTTAAGAACAAGTTGCAGTCTAATACAGCATAATTCCATAGGGTGTAGTCAGTGGTGTTGTGTTACTTGTGCGTGGTTTAAGTTGTATCTGTTGTCGTTTGCGAGCGGTTTGGCTGTAGAGTGAACTAAAAATTGGCCTATATTGAGTGAGGAATTCAATTTTCGATCACAAATTGCAGTCTTTAATAAATCTCCAATCTGTTTCAATCTTTCTTTGAGATTTTCTGACTGAATCATTTTAAAAAACTTTTCTTTCGATCATTCTATCAGCCGATAAAGATAGTGATAATAATGATGATAAAAGCGAAAAAGTGATAACTCAATAAATATGAATAAAAATAAAATGATAAATAAAAATGATTGATTCAAAATGGATTTGTTTTTCATTTATTTATCAGCAATAAGTAAAAAAAATTGATTAATGCTTTCTATTTCTGCTTGAGATTGCTATCAGTTAGCGCGATAAGAAATTTTGTCGGAATGTCACCAAATGGCGAATATTGCTATAGGATCCTTAAAAGAACAACTAAAAACGTGATTCGAACCAGCAATTTGCTCTATAAATAATCAAGGATTGATCAACTAATAAAATTAACAAAGCAAGGCAATTTTCGTCAGCTTAGAATGGTGCTTCGAAATTTATGTGCCAAATAGCGAATCAGCAAAAAGGATTCAAATGTGATAAATTTTTGCTTCCCTCTTATTGAATAGGCTTATGGCAATACGAAACTATCTGACTATCTGTGTCTTTTAACTACTCTTATCTAAGATACATCTTACGGGTCTGCCGAGTGAATAAAATCTCACATGATTGCACCTTCGTTTCAGATACCACTTGCATTAACAATACCATTACAGAGTATCACTTTCGCTGGCTTGAACGCATTTTTCGTCGCCCAGCTCTACAGGAATTGACACATATTTCATTACTTGCCAAACCAGAGTGTATCAGCATAGGTTTGTGTATGCGGTGACTGATAAAATCTTTCGAAATAAAAATCCATCCATCTAGTATCCATCATTTCTTCTACAATATAGAGTGTGGCGTTAAAAGCGAAGTGGACCAATCCTTTGAAAAAGACACAGGAAAGATTTAGAATGTATAGATGAACCAGCGATAGACTTAGACGATGGAATGGCTTTGCTGTCAACGATAGCATCAGACCGAATAGCTTGGAGACTCCTTATCCTTGTAGCCAGCGGAACCAGTGTAACCAGTAATGGTGAGAATTTTCAGAAAAAGAAAGATTGCGACAAAAATATTTTAAAAAAATATAACAAATATTTTTGAAAAGTTTAATTTTAAAAGTTTATCTTTTTTACATTATAATATTTTCTTCTATGAGAATTGTTTTTATCAGTAAATCAACAAATATTGTTTGAAATTCTTTTAACGATAATAAAAAATATCGTCTATATTTTTTTTCATTCGTTAATGAGCCAGCCAATATAAATTTTTTATTTGGAAAATATAGATATCAGTAATGATAGCTGTTGAATCACTGCCTATTTTATTTATTTCTATAAATACAAGAACGATTTGATAAGAATGAAATGGAAAATTTTGGTGCAATAATTTTATTTTGTGTTTAACGGAATGCATTATGGTAACTGATAACAAAATCGTTATCACTAAATTATTCATTAAATCGGTCGGTTTCAGTTTTTAATTTCCACTTAGTTTATTACGAAAATGAATAACATCTGGTTGCTTCTTTTCTTGCTTATCAACTTTCGATCATTTTCAGGTTATTTAATATTTTTTAGAATTTTAATTCAATTTTAACTTATATTAATTTTATTTATATTTACTAGTCAGTTGAGAAATATATTTTTTAATATAATTTCGAAATGCTATCAAATGAATTCTTAGTTTTCAAATTATTAATTAATAATAATTTAATAATTAATAATTTATATTTCTAAATAATTAAATATTTAATATTCATAATTAACTATTAATTAAAAATTATTATTATTATAATTATTATTTTATGAAAAAAGATTCAATAAAAATTAGTTCTGTCGTTTTTCATAAATTTTTGCTTCGAATTTTCTATGAAAGGATGATATAAGTCAGCAGAGCGATATCTCTAAAACTAATGAACACATAAGAGTTGCAATCTTTTAATTACAATAATTTTAAAAAAAAAGTAAATAAATGGTATTTTTAAATTTCAATTTTTTAATCGAAATTTTTAAATTGAACTTCAGGAAACTCGTTGCATCTGATTAGTGCAAATCCAGATGCCAATAATCAAAATTGCGCATCAAGATGTTCAGGTTTAATTAATTATTTATTAATTATTTATATTACAAAGAAAGATAAAGATTTCTGGTTCTTATCACTAATGTTTTTTTCCCCTATCACTAAATTTTTTTTAAAATAAATTTAATGTCATTTTAAAAATATTTCTGATTGACTGGATCAAAAAATTGAGCGATTATCTGTTTACGTGGAGCTAAAATTTCATTTTTTTAACATCATTCAATTTCTAACTGAATTCATTTTGTACTTTTCAGGTGTTCTGAGCCATATAGGATATACCATAGGACAAACATATATGTTTGATGTTTCATCAGAATCTACGGTTAAATTTTGGGATACAGGGCATCGAACGCAAGTGAGGCAAAATTTCGGAGCCGAAATAACAGCTATATCGAAATGTGAATTCGCACTTCAGGTAAGAAACCTTTATAAAGTACTATTGCGAGTAATAACAATTGATATTTTTTCAAAAACTTTTAGAATTTTTCAAATTGAATAACTAAAATAATATTTTTTCTTGCTATAATCTATGAAATAAATAAAAAATCTTTATGGAAAAAAAAATGGAAATTGCTACACAATTTTTTTGAAAATTTCACGTCGGAATACCATTTCTAAAATAGATACGTGGTGTCAGACTTGCTGGAATGGAGGTCCCAAGCATATGGGCTCAACAGTTGGAAAGCAAGCAGCTATTATTTGGTTTTGACAATGGTGAAGTAACTTCAATATGTCCTTCGCAGGATGATCCAGTTTGGGCTGTAAACTTTAAACGAGCGGTTTTATCTGTTTTTCAAACTATTGATGGTAATCAATTTGTTCTATTTCTCAGTTTATTTATTGGATTTTAGAAAATTCAAAAATTTACAAATTTTGCAAAAATTATTTATGAAAAATTCATGTGCCGCTTGAGCCGCTTTTTTTTTATAAATTTATATTTTTTAAAGTTTAAATAAGGAAAATTTTATTCAAGAAATTTTATTTCACATAACAATAACAACATAAGATCAAATCAAGGATGTAACTGAAGAAGTTTAAATCTTTTGATATTATTCCACTAGAAGAGAACGGTAAAGTATCAATTATTATTGAGTACCATGGGTTTAATTTTTGTTCAGTAGTAATCCTACTATCATCAGCAGTAGAATCCGGGTAGTGCTCAGGAAACCTTTACATCTGCTCTGACTCTCGTGCGAAAGGATTTCACCTTCTTTGAAACCAACAAGAAATGAGGCATACTATTGCAAGGTGAAAAAAGATGTATGCCTCTAAGATCATTCAGAATACTGAATCAAAATCCTAAAATTAAAATAAAAACTTATGGTGTAATTTTTAGAAATTGAGTCAGAAACCGATATATCTGGAAAATGTTTAACAAAACGCAGCAAGAAAAGATCTGGGAACTCAGTGGTCATCGAAAGCATAAAAAATGTAACATCATGTGAACGAGCAAATACCATCCAAAAACTTCGATCCGTATCCTATCGACGATCGGTTCGAATAATTTTCACAATTAATTAAAAGAAACTAGGCAAAAGTCTTTTCCTATGAATTTTGAATGAATGAAATAGCCTAGTCTTATATAGAATTATTTGAATATCAAACTTGCTAATTTTTATAGGGATTAGAAGCTGTCGAATCGATGCAATCTACTCAGAAATGTGTCAGGACAATATCGGATTCTATTCTTCAAGCGGTATTTCAAATTCAGTGATATTTGAAATCAAAAAATTTTTTCGAATTGAATCGGTTTCATTCACATTTCGCTTTATTTCTTGGACGAAAACTTTTTAAAACTTTTTTCAATATCCAAAAAATTCTATTCTCAAAAATATGAAAATTCAGATTACATTAGAAAAACAGAAGAAGAGAATAAACAATTTCACATTTTAGAAATAAAAAAAATTCAAAAATATGCGAAATTTTCAGGCAGAATGTTCAGAAATCTATGAAATAAAAGAGCCATTCGATAACAGTAAAAGTTTGATTTCTACTAATACAATGCAAAGGTTGCGATATACTGGCAAAAGAGGTAGTGCTGCATTTCCCACACCTCAAGTGCAGAAAAATCGCCGAACTCTTATTTACGAAAATACAAATGACTTGCAACCGATCAAAGGAAATTTCGAGATGAGCAGATCATTAATCAGTTCGTTATGTCAACCGGGAATCACCGTTCCAGAAGTAAGTATTGTTTTATTTCGAAAGGTAATATTGGTTTTAGCATAAAAAGAAAATTTTTTATTAGTGGTGAATAAAAAAGTATGTCAATTTGTCGATACAGATTTTATGTAATTGCAAGTTTTTTTTATCGTCATTTACATTCATTTTTTATCATTTATCATTTTTATCATTTTTTTCGTTTCTATCATTTTTAAAAGTTTTATCTTTTTCATTTAGAAGGACGCACCATTTATGATTTCATCGTTCTCATTATGAGATTTTCTTTAGGCATTCACTTAGGAATAGAAATGCATTGGGTTAGTAGGAATGCGAAATAACCATGGAGCATTTAATTTTTTGTATGGCAGTTCTTTTTCTCGTATGTATTCTTCATTAGGATTTCTATTTTTATTTCCAAAAATTTTGAGTTTTTGGAATTTTTGGAATTTTCAAGGAAATTCCCCTTTTCCTCGATTTTTTTTTTCTAAATAATCATTTCCCAGTCTAAGTTTTTAATGAAATTTTAATGAAATTTTTCTCTATAGGCAGCGCAGAAATTTTCTGATTTGGTTATCAATCTGCGATCATTAACATCTCGCGAAATAGCGACATTAGGGAGAACTGATTGTGAAGCTTTTGTCGATGCTACTGCAGCTTGCGCTACACCCGAATGTGTTGGTTTCTTGACCAACTTGGTTCGAAGTAATCAAGTTTCCAGTTCAATATTTTCGTCTTTAGCATTTGTTCCAAATCCGCAAATCGAAACCATTAATCATATCGCATCAATTATTCAAATACTACCAACTAAAGGTTAGTTTTGTTCTAAAATTTGTTTTTTCGGCTGCTATTAATTTTTTATGAATTTTTATCGTTATCTTTCAAAAATGTGAAAACAACCATTTTAATCTCTTTTTTTTCCTTAAATTAAATTTTTATTTAAAAATTTGTAATTTCTGCATGTCAAATATTTGCATATATTTAGAAATTTTTCATTTATTTTATCCTCTAAAGAAAATTGTTTTAATGGATTTTCGTAAATTTTAAATTAAGAATTGCTTGGAGTTTCATCAGTAGTGCAGTCGTATTGCTTGCATAATGCTAACTGCATGTCGGAAGCATCTGTTAATCGAATCATCGATACAATAATGAGAAAGTTCGATGGAAGATGCGGCACAGTGCAACATGCAGAAATTAATGTAAGTTAAGTTTTTTCTCGCCAACTTCGGTGGAAATAGTTGGTGCATTTTTGCCAGCGCGAATTCGCACATCCTATCAGCCTTACCAGTTTCGACTTCACATTAATTTTCATTACAGTTGGACCTTTACATTCGGCGAAAATTCTTACCAAAAATTCCTCTCTAACAACATTTTCTATTTTCTTTTTCGTTTCATTATTTCTCATCGCCAGTATGATAATTAAATATTCAATATGCTGCTATTTTAAGGAATTGATCATCGCACTGAAATCAATCGGAAATATAGGATATGAGCAAATATCGCTATCAGCTTTAAGTAGATGCATTTCAACAGCGACCAATTCTATAGTGAAAATTACGGCGATTGATGCATTAAGACGAAAACCATGTTCAGATACTCGAAATTCAATTATCGAGCAACTCTATAACGATCAAAAAGTGCTTTTTAATTTATTTACTTATAAAAATATTAATTAATTCAAAACATCGCAACATATATTAATCATTATAATTTTTCTATATTATAAATTTCCGTGTAGAATTTTGATTTATCTTTATGTTTAAGGAAGATGCAGAAATTCGAATAAGCGCATTTCGCCAACTTATGGAATGTCCAGAGAAATTCTTACAACAAATTTGCCATAAACTTGAAAATGAAACTAGCAATCAAGGTATATTCAACTGATATGATTAAATTTTATGGCACAATACCTAGAATAGAATACCTAGAATAGAATAGGGGATAGAATGGGTCAGTGGGTTGTTGTCCAATTGGGAACGCCGATGCTGAGGTTCTATTCCGCCCCGGAGCAAACCTGTCCAAACCTGTCCGGGTGATGCTGGCGACTCACCTATATTTCTATCGCCAAGAGACTCCATGGCATATTCATTCAATGCAATGCAACAAGCCAGCGGAGCGAGTTTAACCAGTAATGGTGAGGACTCTTAAAAATATCTAGAATAAATTTTTCCAATAAAATTGAATTTCTTTTTAATTTTTTAAAAATTTATTTGGAACTTCTTTTTTCAGTTGGATCATACGTTTGGTCATATCTAAATGCCTTAAGTCGATCGACCAATCCATCGTATCAAAACATAAAACGACTTTTAAGTCAGTACCACATTTCAAGTGAATTTGAAAAAGATCCACGACGATTTTCTCGCTTTTATGACTTTGGATTCTTTGATGAGCAAGTATTATATTAATTTTATTGTTTTTATATAATTTTTCTGTTTAAAATTAAGAAATTGCTTAAAATAATACCATAATTGGATTCACTAATTGTTGACTATAAAAGAAATTTTAATTGAAAAATTTCTCAACAATCTGGATGAGTCTAATTTTTAAAATTATTTTCCAGGAGAATATTGGCGCCCATATGGATTCATCGATTATTTTCAACCCAAAAGGTTTTATTCCTCGCCAAGTAGCATTCAACATTAGCGTGCATTTTTACGGAAATAGGTTTGTGAAAGTTGTTTCCATCTGAAAATTATATGAAAAATACAAAAATGCCAATGGAAATTTTCTGAATGAAAGTTTAACAGATTTAACAGATTTATGGTATCTTAATTATAAAATAATTATTAATTATAAAATAGTAGAGAGTTTTTTATCTTATAGCATAAATATTATGGAGATTGGAGCTCATGCTCAAGGCTTAGAAGCAGTAGGTGATGAGTTATTCGGTACTGATGGCTATGTGACCAATTCAAATGGCTATTTATTCCGTAAACGAAAATTTCCTCCAAAATCATCGCTAGTTGCACAACGTCAACAAATTTTTATCAAAAATGAAGATATGAATCTGGTTACCGGCGGACTATACATGAGGGTAATTTATTCTTCGACAATGATTCTGAACTAAGGCAAAGCCCTAGCAGAATATAGTTAGTTTTGAACAATTCATATAATAATATCTGGTGAATCCAAAGAATGGTAACTTGGTTTTAGAAATTTTGCAGATGTTTGGCGATGATTTGCATTACTGTTCATTTCATGATAAAAATTTTCTCAGTAATATCAAAGAAAGCATGAATTTAGGAAATATTTTCAAGAATGTGGCTAATGAAAGAAGTCTTAAGGTTTCTGTATTTTATTATTATATTTGATCGAAAATTTCTTCGAAAATAATATACAATTAATGTATCTATATTTATAAAAAATTCCTTGTTAACTGTAATTTATTTAAGTAACTTATCTTATAGTGCTATGTAACTGAAAAATTATTTATCAGTATCTTTTATCAGTAATTAATTCTATTATTTTAGTATTCGAAAAACGCAATACTGTTAGATATAGCTCGAGTAACACCATCATTGACGGGACTTCCACTTCGATTCTCACTTCGAGCAGCAGCTTCTGTTAAATTTGATAATAAGATTAAATTAAATTTCGCTGATCTCCTAAGAGTTAAAGCGAATTTTGACACGATGGTTAATTTTATTTTTACGTTCAAAATATTGTTTTATAAAAGAACCAAATTATTGAAATAATTGGTGAAATAGCTATATTATATTATAAAATATTACTCTTTGTAATTTGCAGATATTTAGAAAAATAAATTCAAAATTTATTAAAATTTAAACTATTTATTATTTTTTACAGTTCGATCTTCGACCATCGACTTCATTTTTTGTTGAAGCTTCTTTGACATTGCATGCTGAAAATACGGCTGCATCCGGTATGCGAATTTCATCAGCCTTTCACGCGGCAACGAATGTCAACGGTAATATGGAACTACAGAATGGCAAATTATTTAAATCAAAAATTAATTTGCCTGATACTAAGCCATTTGCTGTTCACATTAGGTATGTAATCACCCGCATGTAAATTTGGACAAAATATAGAGTGGAATAAGATATAAAGCAAAACTAGCTCTTTTTAAAAAACGAGAAATTTCTAATCGAAGAGTAAACCGCCAATTGCTGAATTCTTTCTTTGGAAAGCTTTTCCTTTCCTTATTTCGGTTAAAATTAAAATTTACAGATAAATATGAATATTATTTATGATTTTTTTTAGCAACATTATTTAGTGATAACAAAACTTGATAATTTTTTGATTACAATCGAGGAGGATAAAAAATCTGATTAGCGAAACAAGATAACATTTTATATTTCAGTGCCGGTGCAGCAAAAATTGATAATGGTCGATTCACTGAGATTATAGGTAGAGCTCCTGAAGTGAATGAAAAATGCACTCCACTGGAATTCGGTAAAATAACTGGTCTCAAGGGTTGTTTAAAGGTAAATGGCATAGTTTTTACATTTTTCGTTTTCGCAGTTGCATATCAGATTTTTAGGTAGAAAATCGTAAACCGGGCTTTGCAAGTATAATCAGTGTCGAAAAAGTCGATCCGCTTCTCCAAAACTATGAAATGATAATTGGCCAGTCCATCGAGGTTCCTTTAATCTCAGAAATATAATATTTTATCACTTTGAATGTTTCTGAGTTTAATTTTTTACGGTAGAAAAATTCCATGAAAAAAACAATAAAACTGTAAGACACTTATAGCGAATATATTGAGAGATATTAAAAGTTATATTAAGAGATATCAAGAGATTATCCGTAAATTAAGCTTATTCAGCCAATGAATGAAATGAATGATAATTGATAATAAGAATCTGAAAATTCAGCGTGATGAAACTAAATTTGTGATCAGTTTTGATACTCCTGGATCAAGTATTAATCGCAAAATTGAAGCAAAGTTGGCATTTGTGCCTAGAAAATCAATCCAGTTGGGTTTGACTACACCTTTTAAAAAATTTTTGGTAGAAGGAATGCTCGATTATAAAGCAGATACTACAGATGCTGATGTAAAGCTGAGTATTGACGATCAAATTACTCATCGAATGAAAGGCAATTTGAAGGTGATTTAAAAAATTTAATAATTTTATAGTTTTCTATAAAGATGGTTTTAGCATTATAGCTTTTAAAATCTTATCAGTCCTTCCTTCTTGCTTTTCAGGAGATAAAGCGAGCAGATGGTGCGAAATATGAGTTGCAAGCAGGAGCAGTCGACAAGGGTCCAAACGCACCGAAGCTTGCAGCTACGATCGATTACAGCATACCAAAAAGATTCATTGATGTCGATTTTAATCTTAATAATGTCCTTACAAAACCTATCATTCTTAAATGTAGGCAATTGATCATGAAATTTTTCGATATTCAGTTAATTTAAATTAAATATTTATATTCCATTTAGTAATTAAATTTGAAATTATTTAAATCTTTAGATAGATTTTTTATTTTAATCATTTTTTTTCAGCTCTGATTAGTGCGATGAATAATAAATATGAAGCGAAATTAGAATATTCTGAAGTCTTTTCGAGCGGTAAATTGGCCACTTCTATTATTCGTAGTGGGATTTTCAATTTTGATTTTTCACTAAATGGTGAATATGAATTAGACCAAAGCAAGAAAAAATACGATATAATAATTAATGGAGAACAGAAAATTCAAGTAAATTTTGAAAATTATTGTTTCAACTGGTAGGATTGTATGATTTTCTAGGAAAATTTTCTCTTTTTCATAATTCTCATTAATATTCACCATTTCCGGTTAAGCTAACTCTATGGCAGCAATTCGAATTTTTTGCCGAAATTCTTATTGTGGCAAAAATAAAAATGCAATAGAAAATAATGTCAAAAAAAATGATAAAATGACTATTCATGAAAAGAAAATTATTGAGAAATAAAAATAAAATTTAAAATTTAAATTAAAGAAAGCTATGAGTAATCGTAAATTTTTATAAAAGATAGAATATATTTAAGATAGAATATATTATAGAAATTATAGAAAGGTGATAGGAATTTCTTACTGAAACAAATGGCTTCTGTATCTTCGCGATTATTTCCAAAAATTGATTATCAATTATCATTGGGGCGTAAAGATAATGATATTGAGAAAACCATCCTCATGACATATGGCAGAGACACATTTTCCTCGCAGTTGAAATGTACAAAAAGTCCAAATGAACTTTATACCATCAACCATAAGGTTTGTACATAATATTGACTAATAGCATGAAAAATATTTAAAAATTTTTCATAATTTTCTTTAAAATTAATGCAAAATTTCATTATCAGACAAATTAATTTGAACGATTTGGTTCAATTTCTTTTATTTGTTAATTTATTTTAGCTAAAATGTGATCGTTTTGATATGGATAATAACATGAACATCGTTTATCAGAACAGATTTCCGCAACAATTTAGAATAGCAGTGAATGTTGATACCAAAAAGCTGAAAAATTTAGCAGCTCTTGCCGAATATGAAATGAAGGTTAAGTTTTTAAAAATGGTTTAAATTTATGTTTGTTGCTCTCTTTAGCTTTTGCAAAACTCTGAAACTTATCGGTTTTTCGTAGATTTGAGCATCCTTAATTTCCAGGTTAATCCAAAACTTGTCATAACAGGACATACAAGCTTGACTTATCCAGGCAAAAAGATTTCTGCAACTCATACAATGAATGAAATTGAATCTGGTCAGTACAAAACGACAACGGTATTAGAATGGAGCGATAGATCAACGTTGACGATCGATTCAACTGCCATATTTCGCCCAAAGGTTTTTATTTTCATCAATTTTTATTCATTAATGATTGATATAACAAAAAATTTTTGTATAAAATAAATAAATAAATGAGCCAATATTAGAAAAATTTTATTTTTGATAAATATTTTAAGAATAATGAGTATTCGATCAATGCCCTCGTTAAAGCTCCATGGCTGAGAACACCAATAAATATCATCAAAAAAGTACAAGGAAATTTCTTCCCAGATTCTATCGCTCGATATCTTAAATTCGTCAATACAGATAATAGAAATGATCGCGCGGAGTAAGAATATCGTTCCTAAAATAAATATCGAAGTTTTGCTGCTGAATATAATCTATAGAATAGGACTGCTTAACTGGTTAAGTAGAAGGGTTGACTTTGGAAAATATTATAATGGCAAGTAGCAATCACTTTACGAGCTTTGAAGATTTTTAACACTTATATTACTTTGATATTTAAAAAATTCGCAACCAAAGCTTATATATTTTGCTTATTTTTTTAAAATAGTAGAGCTTATTTCAAAGAAATAGAAGGGAATCAGAATGAAGGAATGGGAATGAGAGGGAAATCAAATGATAGGTCAAAATATATAATTATAAATAAAGAGTGGTAACACATCTTCTTGATTTATTATTTTTTTTTATCTGAGATTCTGCGTGATATGTTGAAAATTAAGGTTAGAGCGAAAATGGCGAAAGATGCTCTAAAAAGAGAGGATTGCCAATTATTTGAATTGCAGAATATTCTGGCAAGTACAACATGGACGTAAAATTATATATGAATTGTCCATAAGGAAACAAGGCCATTACGGTGGGCAGCAACGTTTTAATCTCGAAGTGAAAAGCGATCAGTTACAACCGAGGATCCATTATGAAATGGTACATTTCGTTTTGCTTTTTTGAGGATCTTATTGTTTTTAAATTTCTTGGCAAATTTGTCCGCAAAATATCTAAATTATTTTAAAAAAATATAAATAATTGCTTACAAATATGAAAGAATGGCAATGCAATTCTTAAAAAATCGTCTATTAATTTAGATTGGAGATTTTCATCCAAGCAATGATGAATTAAAAATCAATGCTGTTGTAAAGAAGGATGCACAGGAATTAATTAAGAGTACATTATCATTTCCGACAATGAAAAAGCAATCACCTAAGTATCAAGCAGTAATGGATTGGAATTACCAGAATGTAACTTTAGTTTTTACCTATATAATGTTAAATAGATTGCATTGGAACTAACGGTCGAATGGATCAGATCTACTTCATACATAAAGTGGAATATAGATGAAAAAATTTAATAATAATAGTTAATACATTGAGTTAGTGGTCAGCTCAACGGCCAGTCACTTCTGGTAAAGTTTATTTCTATGTCCATTAGGAGAAAATACAAGTAGGCCCCTGTACAGTTCTAAATTTTTAATAATAGGTAATTTTTAATAATAACTGGCAAATTTCTTCATATAAATCCTAGATGAGAAATATTAAAACTATAGATGCCAATTGTTAATTTTTCTAAGTAAATTTAAAACCATGAAATATTTACTAAATTACCAAATAGTCAAAAATTTTTAATATACAACACCTAATAAATATCTTTTAATGGGAGTACCAAGTGGTTATTGTTGAGCCTTGACTTGGAACTTGCCTTTTATAATTTTAAATTTATAATTGGAAAAATCAGGATGCTTGATTCATCTATATTTCTGTCGCCAAGTGATTCTTATAAAAATTTCTCGTAAAGTGGAGAAATAATGAGCACTAATCATTATTTTTCTTATAAAAAAATTTTAGAGGCAACATCATGCAATGCTTGAATACAAACGCGATGATCGAAATGCAAAAGGCCCCGTATATGAATTGAACGCTGAATCTAATAAAGATATGAAAATGGGTGTAAAACTGCAATTCCACGATAGAATTCTTCTTAAATGGTTCTATTATTGAGCATAAATAAATTAATATAAATATCAAACTATTTCAGTTATAACTATTCTTTTTTTTTAAAGAGTCCTCACCTGTTTAAACTCGCTCCACTTGCATTGGGCAATGTTCCAGGGAGTCCCTTGGCGATAGAAACACAGGTGAGTCATCGGCTTCACCCGAATTTTTGTACAGGTTTGTTCCTGCGATGAATCGAACCTCAGCATCGGCGCTCCCAATTGAACATTAACCCACTGAGCCATCCTATCGCAATCACAATTATTTGGAAAGCTTTCCTTTAAATGTGTTATTACCATCAAACTTTTAAAGAATTCACCATTTCACAAATAAATATTTTAGTGACATAGAGAAGAATGGAAGATTATTATCTTCATCAGAGGTAAAGATCAATTCTCTGCGACTTGATGATTTTAACATGGAATTTGTAATCAATACTGATCATCCATTACCCAGAAAAATGGCTAAAGGAAAAGCGATCATTAATTACAAATCTAATGAGGTAAAATTATAATGAAAGAAATGAAAATGATAAAGTAATTATTTAACGATAAATTTTTTTTCTTGGAATTTGCAATAAGATTTCAATGAAAGTTAGGTTTTTTGAAATTATTTAATCATTACAGGTTTTGCTTGAAACTTGGTTCGAATTAGATGGAGATCGATATCTAACGAAAGGAAATTGGAGAAAGGATATAACTCCAGGGACTGATGATCGCCATTACATTTATTTATTGCAGATTCTATCGCCCAAAGTTAGTTATCTTTTTTGAAGGTAAAAAATTATTGGGCGACAATTCATGCATTTCATCTTGTATTTTATCGTTCTACTCATTTATTATGTTATAAGGTTTAGTCATTTAGTCGGGAAAGGAGGATAGGACAGCAGTGAATCTGTAACATTTCATGGTCGCAGCAAAACACCATTTTTGCAATTCATGTTTTAATTTAAATAGTTTAATCATTTAGTTTTTTTTTCGATGCCTATTTCTTATCAAACATTAGTAATTTCTTGAAATTCAAGCTCGATTCATATCGTTATTTTCATTCTATAATAGGTTTCTTTCAGGCTGGGCTCACATTCGACCAACAAATCCGAATTCAAGGACCGACAAATTTGAATAAAATACATACATCATTGAAAATGGATATGGATAAGACATCCTATACCGTTAAAAATAGAATTGATCGAAGCATTACCACTTTCGATGTGGAATCTGAATTTATCGTATGTGATTAATTTATTTCATTGCTTCTTTCTGATTCGTTCTGATTAATGCGCCTTATCACTGTTTATTTGCTCATTGATTAATTCATTAGTAAAACTTTGGAAATTATAGCTGATTCTTGCGATTGATTGAGAAATATAATGATTGAATAAAATTTGCTCATAAATTATTTGCCACTATATTTAAAGATTTTATGACTTTAACTTATGATTAATAAGATAAAATTACAGGGTGATCGTCATAACGCATTACATCGCCTAAATTATCTCTCGCAAGATGGTGAAAGGACACTTAAGAATCTATTCAAACATAATAATAAGGAATTCAGTGGGCAAGTCAAATCAATTTATAAAGATCGTATTATTCATTATGATGTCGATATTACTTCAAGTCATCCAGCATTGAAAGTTCTGAAAGTAAGTTTTCATCCATGAATTCGGAGGAATATGAGGGAATGCAGAAATCGCCAACTCCTCTCACCATCCTCAATTTTTTGAAAATTTGAACTTTTTTTTACTGCACGAGTAATAACTATGATAAAAAAGCTGTGACTTGAAGTTTTATTCAGATTAGTTAAATTAGTAGTAATTTTTAATATTTTTGCAGTCCGAAACATCTTGCAATAAAGAACAGGAACACTGGAATTGTCGAGCAGAATTTAATTTGAATGATAGATATACTGGAAATGCGTATGAATCCTTAGCACGGATGAAAGCTCACATTGGATATAAACTTTCATTAAACCGGTTATATGACGGCGGTTTCGAGTTAAATTACGATTTCAGCCAGGTATTTTAAAAGTTTATGCTATTTAAACTGGTTTAAAAAAATTATTTAATTCATTTAATTGGAACAATGCATTTGATAATTCAATTTTTTTTCAGCCTAATACATATATTACAAAAATACTTATAAACCATATCGCTAAACAATTCCAATTTTTAATGAATGTGGTTGGATCCTCAGGAACAATTACAGTCGAAACACCAAAAGGTGTAACCAAATATAAAGGGGTATGGAATTTATTTTGGGATTTATAAATTGATATAATTATAAGATTTATTTACTCATTTAGAAATAATAAGTAGAGCATACTTAAAGCCATAGTTATCATTATTCATAGTGTACAACAAATTTATCAAAAGAGCAAAAGAGATTCGGTCATTGGCATAAGAATAGGAAATATAGTAATGAACTGATTTTAATTTGATTTTATTATGATATTTGATATGATTTTATTTCTTCTTCTTCTTCTAACAACTCTCACCATTTCTGGTTATGCTGCGCTGGCTACAAGAGTAAGAGATCTCCAGGCTGCTCGGTCAGACGCCATACTATCGTTAGTAGTAATAGAAGCCATTCCTTTTTCCATCTTTTAAGTCCAAATATGTTCAAAAACTTTCCTGGCTGTATCAGACTAGGTCTTGACTGGCCCTCCTCGCTCTTGATGCCAACTATCATAGAATTTAGCAAGCAACAAAATGTGCGCCAATCGTCTTTATGGTGATTTCGCGACGGTTCCATAAAGATTTTATCAACTGGAAAACATATTTTTAACTGTCGCTATCCGGCAACTTTATCCTTTACCTGAACATCCTTATCCTTTGAGATTAAAGTGGATTCAAGGTATTTAAAGTCAAGTATTTCCTCAACCAGTAATGAAAAATAGGTATTTTATCAGCAGTAATAGGCATATGATTTTATTTTTTGAACCTTTTATCGCTTTTGATCCACAATAATCTCATATCTCATAATAGATCAAGTCTATGCCGGGACTGAACAGTGGATTTAAAATTACGGCGGCCGAAGAAGGAAATCCTCGAGGAAGAGTTGAAGTTGATTTTGTTCCTGCTGAGCCGCAAAAAATGTTTAGACTTCAGGTGTTTTTTAATGAAATTTTTTTTTCGTTTAATTATTTTAATATTATTTGACTAAAACTAGTGAAAAAAATAACTATAATAATTTTAAATAATAATTTTATTCTATGCTCTTAATTTATTTCTAAAATTTCTATAAGTTACAGATACTCGGCACCGAGCAGCCACTTGAAATAGTACTCAAAGATGAACTGAGTGATAGAAATAACGTGCAAACGACTACAGCTCAAGTTATATTTGATCCGATGAGGAAAAAAGAGGTTGAAACTTCTTAAAGCATCGCCTTTTCATAGGCCTTTTTTTTAAACCTAAATAAATAAGATCTTAAATCTATTTGATGCGAAATGCAATCAGTATTTTTTTAAAATTTTAGGTTCTAAAAAATTAAGCTTTGTTTTTAATTACAGAAACAATGATTTTAGGTTTACGGAGTGACTAATGTACTTGAAAGTTCGGGCAAATCGTTCAAAGGTATGAAAACTACGATACAACATCCAAAAAGAGTAATGTATACCGAAATTCTTCGACCCGCATACAACAAATATCTCTTCCACTTCCAGTATGCTTAATTCAAGTTTTTTAAACACAACGATTTTGATGATTTTTCCTGAAGAACATAAAAAATAGAAAGATCCGAGGATTTAGCTAAGTTTATTCGTCTCAAAAATTTATTTAAATTTATTTAAATTTATGGAAAACAATAAGTTCTAATATATATAATTTTTATATAATTTTAATATAATTTTAATTCTACTATAATTTTTATAATTTAAGTGATAAGTGATATAATTTAATTTAACTTCGAGCAGTTGCTACAAATAAATTTCTATTTTCATCTTTATAAATACCATTCCTTTAATACATTTAAAATACGCTTATTTAATTTCCACTTTAGTCCAAACAAGAATGGAAGAAGAAAACCCACAGTGGCCGAATTTAGCTATGAAAAACTGCCGATGAGCTTCCTATGGCAAGGTTCATTTTCTGACGAAGCACTAAGTAGTCCGGTGCATTTAAAGATTGATGCAAAAAGATATGGAAACGATATCAATAATTATGGATTCGACATTAAAGGCGAAGTGAATTTTAGTTGGTTTCCATTTGAAAGGGGAAAAATTTTTTCGATTATATTCCTGGAAAACCATTATTATTTGGATGAGACTGCTTGGAAAAGAAATATCAATGCATAGCCCTAGGATTTCAAATAATTTTAATTATTAATTAAATTAAGAAATATCACTTTTTTTATCACTTTGAAATCAAGCGAAATAATTATATGTATGAAAATATTTACAAAAAGGTAATTTTAAGTTGGACTACAGTGGAGAGCCCGACAAGCTTTTTAAGACGTCGATACATGCTGATCGCAGAGTTGTAAATCCTGGAGCAAATCAAACGGTTAAGTTCGATTTTGAAATGGAGCGAACACATATAGCCAGGTTAAACATTATTTATTTCGTAGAGTTATAGCGAAACATTAGAAATAGACCTGGAAGTTATTTATTGAACCAATTCGATAGATTAAACGAGAGAGAGGACGGCGACTACTGTTGGAAGCCCTGCAATTCTAATTTCAGATGACTCCATAAGAAAGAATCCTATCATAGTGGAGCCAGCCAAACCAGAAATAACAGAAGAAGGAGTAACTGAGTATAGAACCGACTGCATAATTTATGCGAGCGAGACAATATATTTTAATCGGCATTATAATTATAATGAAAATTCCCTAATTGGGAAATATGGGTTATTATAGAAAATAGTATTTAGTAATCTTCACTGCCGTCTATTCGCAAAGTTTGATCGTCGAGAAATCAATGGTATATTGGTGCCAGTTAGCTCGACACTTGGTGTTTCTTCGAAAAATAAACAAGGAATTCCAGTGGTATATAAATTGGAAACAGATTCGGATGCCAAAAGCTATTTAGAAATGCGGACACAGCTGGGCCAATCCAACATGAAAGCCCGAATCGATCGATCTGAAAATGATTTTCAGATTGCTATTTATAAGGTTTCTAATCATCTTAATTTCTACCCGTTAAAGGCATTAAAAATAAGATTCGTATCATTTATAAATTATAAATCATTCGGAATGAATTGAAGGACAGCAACAAAGCATCGCTATTAGGTGATATACGAATTATGGATAACGGATTCCAAGTTGAGTTACGTGACGAAAAGTCGGATGAAGTGAAATTACATGGATCTGCACAAATCATTAACGACTATAATGGCTATTTAGAACTATGGCACAATGAAAGAGGAAGAAAAATAGTAGATACCAATTTCCGAGTAGAGGTCAGATTTTTTTGCTAGTAGGCCATTCTCTTTTTTTTTGCATGATTTCGAATTTCAGATCCATGAGAACAATATGTTAACTGCTTCAATAAGCTTACGTCCAGATTTAGACACTGACTTCATGGTAAATTTTTTTGATAATTTGAAAATCGTTTTTCAGTCGCTAAATTCTCATGGTATTCTCAAATCGTCGTTTATAATATTTAATATTTATATTTGTTTAAATTGGCAAAAAAATAGATTATTAAAAAATATTAATTAAACAGCCTTAGATTTCTAAAATTGAGCAAATAAATTCAAACTATATATATATAAATTTAAACTATAAACTAATAAATTCTAATATCTCTTTCCCAGAAAGCAACAAATGATGCGTTATCAGTAGCGAGTAATTACAGTGGTAATTCTATAATAAAAGATATTGTCCATCCAGTTATCGATTCACACAAACTTGTTATCAATGATATTTCAAGTCGATTCAGTGGCTTAGGCCAATCTTGGTTGCATGAACAACGGTTCTTATAAATTTTTAATAATTAATTCTTATAAATTTTTAATAAATAATTTATAATTTACAAAAAAAAATCTGACGAACAAGTATATGCGGTAAGCTTTGATTAAATTTACTCAATCGTTTTAGCTATATTTGATTTCAGACTTATGGCATCGGATTTTGGTATAGATGCTTCAAAACTAACTAATGAAATTGAAGAAATTTTCGAAATCGTACATGAAGCAATTCTAGTGACTAGTGATCAAGCTAAACAGGTATTTATGTATTTTATTCTATGATTTATGAGTTATGAGGGCTTATAGCTTTTTAAAATAAAATTCTTTGAAATTGCGATTAGAAAATTATGCTTAGAAAAATATTTTCAGATCGTTGAAGAACAACTAGAAGCATTTTCAAAGGGTGAAATAATGGAACAACTCCGCCAGTTGAAACAAAATTTCGATTTGCCAAAATATATAATCGAACCACTTAAACCGCTATCAAACTTTTTGGATATGCTCCAAGATATTGTAAGTTGTCAATTTTTATTTCTAAGCAACAAATAATATAAACTAGAAAATAAACTAGAAAATTTATAACCGATTCAGTAGGCCTTTTTTTAAGAATCCTCACCATTACTGGTTAAACTCTCTCCGCTGGCTTGTCGCATTGGATAAATATGCCAGAGAGTCCCTTAGCGATAGAAATACAGGTGAATCGCCAGCATCACCCGGATTTTTGTATTCTTGCAGGGAATCGAACCTCAATAGGCCATAAAAATTGACTAATGGTAAATGCCTTTCAGAATGCTAACACCATGATTAGCATAAATTTATATAAATATACTAAATATACTAAAAAATTTATGCAAATATAGACTAAACAGTTCCAGATTTTCGAAATTTTTCGAAAACAAAACTAGAAAAAAAACAAGACATTGAAAATTATAGAAAATTTCTGCAGGTAAATAAAATTCGAGTTCAGTCTTCTTCCGCAATGCTATACATCAAGGAGAATTTGAAGGTCGATGAATTCCTTGGTCAGCTAAATTTCGTTATAACAAATTGACCATTTAGCAACAAATATTTTGCCAGAACGAAAAAACAAACAGTCTTCGATTGGAGTGAACCTGTCCTTTAAAAAATCAGAGTGGTTTTATCAAAAAAATCTAATGCTTCCTCTTCGCTCAGTATATTTTTAGCCGTTATCTGTCTGACAGAAATTTCTACTCCTACAGAAATTTCTACTCCTACTAATAACTAGCATAGCCAGCCTAACCATAAATGGTTGTCGCGATACATTTTATATTATAATAAGCTCAATTATATTATAATAATTATATAATTATATTATAATTATGAACCTTATTTAGTGGAGCTAAGTGAATATAAAAAGAAAATTACGGAAGCTGATTATGTCCAAGCGATGTTGGATAAAACTAAAGCGATCATGAAAAAATATCAAACAACTGGTGCAGAACAAGCCGTAATTGAATTTGAAAAAAAATTACCAAAGTATCGTAAAGGCATAGCGAAAATCTACGAGAAGGTAAAGACAATTAATGAGCAAAAATTTCGAAAAAATTGCTGAAAAAATTAGAGGGGGTACCATAAAAGTACTTCTGCGACATAATACTTCATTTCAGGTTAGAGATACAATTTTGTCTAAGGCTATGGCTATATATTTTGCTAAGTTGACCGAAGTTGCTTTAAGACCATTCACTCAAGGTTCAGTGGATAGTGATAATTTACGAGAGAAATGGTTCGATATCATCAATTATCTCCGTCAACAATCGTCCTATTCGGAGGATTTCTGGAAAAAATACATTCCCGTAGTGCGGGTACTATTTTCGGGCAAACTTATATTTTAGATTTTTATCTTATTAATAATAAATGATTAACGAACGATTAGAATAAATGAAAACCAGCGAAATTGCAGAGAACGAGTCCTGCTGAGTACACTTTGGAAATGTTGTTGCCATTCCCAGGTTTATCGTTGAGAGATGCTATTGATATTTTGAATCCATCTTATTTGTCTGCCAAGAGTGCAGCACTTGTAGAACTATTTGGATCACCGAAGATCAGAGCAGATGTAAGACTTTCAAAATTTTTTTAAATAATAATTTTATTGCATTTCATCCGATTAGATTTTATAGGCTTATATGGATAAAATCGAAGAGAAAATAGATCTAGCGAATTATTTTTTATCATTCATTACAAAATAAACAAATTAATGATAAAGACAAATAAAGATAAGATAAAGATTGACTCATTTATTTATTGCAAAGATGCCTGTAAAATTCTGTATATCCTATAATTTTCATATTTTTTCCTAGATTTTCTCCAATGTTCTCGTTTCTGAAATTTTTGCTGATTTTTACTATTTAAAAATTCTGAAGTTATAATATCAATAGCGTAATAAGAATAGCAATCTGTGAGAAATGATAAAAAGATTTCGCAAAATTGGAAATAGTATGAAATATTTTTAAAAAATTTTTAAAAATTTTCTTAGGAATTTGGTCAGTCTTTGTTAAATTCAATATATTCATTCAAAATGGAATCCATATATCCGTCAAAAATACTACCTCCTTACAAAAGTATGAAAAATATTTATATTAAGTATGAAAAATATTTATTTACTTCTTTATTATTTTATTTTAAATTTACAGAAAATTATCAGAATTATGAAAAGTGAAAAAATATAAATTTAGATATAATAATTTTTAATAATAATAATCAATAATTTTTGATTAATAGTTTTTTTATTTTGCCTATCTTAAAGGCTGCCAGTATTTTAGGTGTTGGTTATATAATTGATAACGATAAATTTATAACATTTGATGGTCGCATATTTGCTTTCAACGCTCCTTGTGAATATGTATTAGCTGTTGATCTTGTCGATCATCAAGCTGAATTCGTTGCATCATTTGATGCTCAAGGTTTAAATGTACTGAAAATGGAATTCCGTGAATTACCTATATTCATATATAGAGATGGAAAAGTAAATTTGTTATACTTTCATACTAATCTTTGTTAATTTCAGTCTTACTGGAAGAATTCTTTGTATATTTATAATTACAATTTTAATTATTATAAGAATATTTTATTTAAAATGGGAATTAAGGCTGTAAACAACCAAAATATTATATAATAGGTAGTTTTCAATGAATAATAATTATAATTACAATAATTATAATTATTATTTTAAGATTGAGGCAGATAGACGGCCAATTTCTTTGCCATGGCAGAGAGTTGATAAAATGGATGGCGAATCATTAGTGTCGATTAAAAAAGAAGGCGATTGGATATTGCTAAAAACATATGATGGACATCATGTGCATTATAATGAAAAATATAAAGTTTGGGAAATCGGTCTCTCTGGTCGAATGCATGCCAAAATTGGTGGCTTGCTTGGGCTTAACGATAACGAACCTGTTAATGACCTTGATTTCACCGATGGTCGATCGAATAATTTGGTTATTCCAATCTTTATATAGTTCTGTTTAATTCATGGTATTTTCATACAAAATAGCTTATCGTTCAATCAACGCATTCTGGAGAATAGCTAAAAGATTTTTAGCGCATTCCTTGATCATTTCTTTATCTTTTCCTAAAATTTTAGCAGCTTTACAATCCCACAAGATTATTAAGCAAAAATTTCTTAGATTTTTTGCATATTTTTATATAATAATGGAATTAAATATTGGACAAGTTTTATTATTTACAATTGCGGATGATATTGATGATTTCAGGCAAGTGCTTTAGCGCAACACTGGTTAACAGCTGGATCATGTAATAGGAATCAAGCAAATCTTGGAAGTGGAGATATTGAAGAATGCGAAAAATTGTTCATTCATTCAACTAGCCCATTTGTGGAATGTTTCTCGAAAGTTATTGCTTTTTAAGTTTTTTATCATAAAATGTTAATTTTTTAATGATAGACTGATTAGAAATTTTCATTTTGAATTTGTTGAAATCCACAATTCTTGAGCAAATCTTCTAAAGATAGTTTGATAGGAATTTGGTCAAAATAGCTTGATCGTATTTTTATATTTGAAATTAAAATAGGTCTATTCGAGTCCTTTTGGAAGACTTTGCCCAACTTCTATGCATAATGATCATTGTGTTGCATCGGCTGCTTATGCTCAAACTTGTCGAAATGCTGGTGTCAAACTTTCGTTGCCATCTGAATGCGGTAAAAAAAAAATTGACTCTTAAATATTAAAATGGTTAAACCAGTTCAAATTTGAACTAAATCTACTAAAAACCGTTACAGTAACCTGTGAGCCTGGATTCAAAAAAGATGAAGAAAAGAAGATTATGGGACCAGATGTTGGGCACGACATTGTATTCGTTGTAGAAGAACGAACTTGCATGGATAGATACAAAGATAAAATTGAAAGAGTCGTGCATGTAGTTGCGCAAAAATGGTATCTTTTCTTTAGTCCTATAAAATCTTTAAAAATTAGATTAATTAATCAAATCTGAATAGTGAAGTTGGTTTATTATAATTAGCTTATTTTTGGACGCTTAAGCCATTAAATAAGAATCTTATTTGTCTTATAGGATGCTTATTTTTGAGAATCTATATCACTTATCTCGTTAATTCAGGAGAAACGCTCAATTCGGATGGGTGGGTTTTGGTGGTGAAGGCTCATTTCATTCACCATCTATTCATTACATCGGAGGCTCTGCACTTATGGGTGTTTCTGAACTGATTCAACAGCTTCGACGTAAATATGAACCAGAATCAGGCATTGAACAGCCACAAACTTTTGCTATGGATGCGGTTCATTATGCTGTACAAAATTTCCCATTCAGGTTTGTAAATTATATCGGATATGTTTGATATAATGTTATGATATATTTGGTTGATTTTTTTATATATCATTGCCCCATTCTTTTGTAAAAATTTTAATTCATCTTTCTAATCCGTGCCAATATCTGAGCAGAAATTTTTTCAAAATTATCTTTTATCATATCACAGGTCAAGATCTGCAAAGTCAATTATACTTGTAATATGTAAAACTTGCGATAGTAGGACAATTTCCAAATCTGATTTACTTGATGCATTACTGAAACAGGCTTGTCATGAATTTTATTCTATATTCTTTTTCTTTTCTTTTTCTAAAAGTTATTTATTTATAATTTAGTTGTAAAAAAGTTATTTATAATTCTTATTATTCTTAATAATTCTTTTTGTTGTGATTTTAATACCAGCCAAGCCAGCAATGAATGGTCTGCCATATAGGTTCGAAGTTAATTTTAACAGTTTTTTATCTGCCATATGAATTCATAATTTATTTAAAATTTAAATTTTATTTCATATTGATAATTTGGATTTTATCAGAAATTTTCATCTGAAATTTTAAGGGCATTAAATTCCATGTACTTTCGTTGCGAAAAATAAAAACATCGACAAATGTGGAGCCTGTTGGTTTGTTCTAAGTTCCATTCGAATTTTTCTTTCTAAATTTTAAAATATAAAAATATGCTTTTATAATGAAATTATAAAGAATTATTCCATAAATCTATTTTTTGTTACTGTTACAAACATAATGTGTAAAATTTAAAAATTTTAAAATTTTGCAGGCTTCGATGCAAATGACTTATTCGATGAACGTGGTGGTAATATAGGTAATCAGCCAAAACTAATTTCAACTATCGATGACTGTTCAATGGTTGCTCAAGAAGCCCACGGAACATCCTTTAATTTGGTTTATTTTTCGTAATTGAGAAAAAAAGTCTACATTAAAGGACTACTTTAATTGAGATATGAATTTTATTTAAAGTTTTCGAGTTAAAAATTTTATAAGCTTTTGATTCATGGATCATATTTGATAGATAGCTGATAGCTATTTATAAGCTACTTTTCCCAGTTCTATCACTTTTCACTTTTTGATGATAATATGAATCGCAACACTAGAAAGCTTCTAATGGGAATTAAATTCGTGCTCTACTCTATTGGTACTTGAATTTAGGTCATTTTGTGAAAAATAATCGAAAAGAATAAGTGAATGGTTTTTGTTTACTCTTCTATAGAAATACTTCAAAGAAAGGAAATAGGCAGAAAAAAGAAAAAAAAATAAAAGGCGATTTGATATATTTACAACTATTTCAGTTATTCTTAATTTGCTAAATCCTAAAATTTTTAAAATTTTTGCCAAAATTTTAGAAACGTGGCTCTAGTATATCTCCATTATATTATTCACCAAGACAAGGAGATTGTGTTCTTTGCCAATGTGTGGAGGATTCATTCACCGTTCGCACTGTATGTCATCCATGTCAACCAATCGAAGCTGTACAAGTAATGCCATAATTTCTTAAAAAATGCATTAAAATGAATAACAAAAATGAAATATAACCGAGTGAATTTGAACTTTTTTATAATATTCAATACTTTAGTAGCATATTCCACATCAATCTTGAAATATCCTTAACTTTCTGGATGTGACTTGGGCCAAAAGAATATTTTTTCAAGTCCTTAACTTGTACAAATTCAATTAATTCAATTTTTATCTCTTAATTATGTGTGTTTAGAATATTATTTCGATTTAGCTGAACAAAAAATAATAATTTCATCCTAAAAGTGGGTATTTTAAACTTATTGAGAAAACAAAAACTTAGAAATCGATTTCTTGCAAGACTAAAAAAATTTGTATAGATGAAAACCTTCATTAATTTTTCTATTTTATTGGAAATCATTATCGGCACGACTTGCATATTCCAACTAAATTTTAAAAAAATTTTGAAATTTTTGGCTCAAAATACCATATCATTTTGTTTTTTATAGAATATGGTTATGATGAAAGACACTAAAAACCATCAAAAACGATTAATTTAAGACAATTTTGCGAATTTCTATAGTGGAAGAATAATTTTACTATTTACTGATTTTAGACGGGACAAATTACACGGGATTTTAAATCTCAAATTGAAAGTTAAACATCCTAAAATAAATTTTCAACCTTCAAAAAAACGATTCTTGCATAGCAAAAGTTTCAAATTTTAAATTAAATTGCCTTGATTAATATGGTCCATTATTTTCTCCTCAAGCAGCTCTCATCATTTCTGGTTTGGCTGCCTTTATTTTATATTGGGAAACATTTAGGGATAGAAATCGACAGGAGATAGGTCGATGCACTCTTTAACTCTTAAGTTTTTAATACTATCTTAGTTCTATCGAAGCGAAGAACTTGAATCGAGGCTGTAATTCACTAATATTGATAGAGGCAAAATATAGATTGGTTATAAGCGATTTAAAAGTGAGCAGAAGAATTTCAAAAAAGACATTTCGAGAAGTTCTCTGATAATAACTTTAATCTTTTTCTTAAAGGTAATATATAAATTAAGAGGAAATAATTTCGTTTCTTTTTCAGGTCGCATTAGGCCGTACTGGTTTGATATTTTAATGCAGATTTATGGAGAATAAAAATTCTTTTTTTATGAATTTATAAATGTTAAAATAATGTGTCGTCGCATTAGTGCTTTAATAAATAAATAATAATTTTATTTCGGTTATTCTTGCGAAAAATTTTTTTTTTCTATATGAGTAAATAAAAAGAAAGCAGTAAAGTAGCGAATAAAACAATTCGTAGAGATAAATATTTTTAAAAATATTCATGGAGAATATTTTTAAATATTTTTAAAAAAATTCAATGCAGTTTTTTAAAGCAATAATCGCCGATTTTTGATCAGCCAAATTCTACAGGAATATTTTAATTTATATTTTATAAAATAAATAAGTGAATATGAGGATAATAAATTTTTAATATTAGACCAAGTTCTAAGCAATTTTTAACATCAACAAAGCGAATACCCTCCTAATGAATAAGCATTTGATGGAGAAATGGTGAATTTAATAAATTCTGTTAAAAAATATTATGGTTCGCATACATATACTGCTCGGCCTACGTTATTATTTCTGTTCGTTATAACCGAAAACCGAATTTAATAAAAGAATAAATTTTCTAGGAAACTTGTCACTTGACTTTTGCATAAATTTTTTTCATCTCTTCAGTAATTAGTTTTATTTCGACTAACTGTAGTTCAGATTAAAAAATGAAAAATTAATTTTTCTCTTTTCAATAAAATGAACTAAAATTAAAAAATTAAAATTGGTTCATCATTTATCACTTTAAAAGCTTATATTAAATATTGAATTAACATTTTCCATTTCTCATTTTTTTTTTCACTTGAAAAAAAGATGATTTATTCAAATATGCAAAATTTCGATGTTGAAAACATAGCAATGCTATTTTGAACCTACAAAGCGCGTTTCTTGTAAGAATATTCATCATTTCTTGCACCATTTGGCTTATCAAATCAGTCAAATTTTGCTAGAAAATTACTTGCCAGGTGATAGAATTACCGATCAATATCACTCATATAGGAGCATGAAGTAAAATAACGATTTAAGTGGATTTATTAAATGTATTCATAGAGTATCGCATGTTTTTAAAAATTATAATCTATTCATTTTATCAATTTATTATTTTTCATTATATTTTTATTACAAAAAAATAAATATTTTCATGGTGAAATTGGAGAGTATAAATGAGAATGGTGGCTCTATCCAGGAACGATCCTAAAATTTTAAAATTTTTAAAACTTTTCGGACAAAAATTCTATTTAGATATTTCATGTATAAAATAAATATATCTATGTTTCTTTATATTTTTCTTCAAACATAAATAATCTCGGAAAAGCGTTTTATTTAAAATATTTATAATATTATTATGGATTATAATGGTTATAATTATGACATTATTATTTATATAATCAATTCCAATTTTCCTTTTTTTTAATAACAATTTTAAATTCTTTCATTTTTGCATAAAATGCGAAAGAAGCTTTTTGAATTAGAAATGAAAAAGGAGACACAGATGATTAGTTCGGATCAAATATATAACAATATAACAATAAAATCAAACATAACTTGTGGCTAATGCTGGAGCCACTAGGGACGTGTATGCATGATCGGCTCTCTGGTATAAAATCTCTTTGGTGTAAAGGAAGTTTGCTGAACCAAAACTGGTGAGTCCTATAAGACAAATAATATTTTAAAATAATATAAGTTGGCTGACATTGTTTTTATTTAATTTGTCAATTAGGGATCTCTCTTACTTCACATTTATTCATTTTCATTTCATATTATTCGCAATTTCTTTCGATTTCTTTGTTGATATTGATAAACTATTATATGAATAGCGTCGATATTAATAATATTAAAATTATTATTAAAAAATTAGGATATAAGTTAGATTTGGTCATTTAGCTTATTTATATGGGCGTTTCTTGAAATCCATGGTTTTATTCATGGAGAAATCGATTAAAAGACCTTCATTCAACATAAAATTAATGCTAAAATTTGCTTTAAAACGACATATATCGCTTTTTTCGTAGCTCATTTAATTCTATTATTAACATTATTATAGAAAATATTTAATAATATTTTTGAAAACAATTTTTTTGCATATTTTCATCCAAATTTAAAATAATTTTGAAAAATTTTTTATTTTCATCCGAATTTAATTTAATTTGCACTTTCATTTAATTTATATATTGATATATATATATATATATATTTCTGTCGAGAAATATTTCTAAATAATATTTATTTGATTATTCGATAATCGCAAAAAAATAGCAAATATTAAATTTTACGAATCCACTTTATCTTTGGCAATTTAATTTATTAGTTAAAATATTTTTTAATGCGAAATTTCTATATTTCTAAGATTTTTATTTATAAATAATTATCTTAATTTCCGCAGCTGCTTTTCGCTTTTAGTTCTTATTTTCCATGTTTCCAACATGCAGAACTAGGGAATTATAATTTTCTTTTGTACTTTACTAATTCTGGTAAATGCCCATAAAATCTAATAAAGCAGGAAATGAAAGGTATTCCTGAAATGAAGCCCTAGGTCAAGTGAATCCTTGGGATATTTCGCTGTTTAAATTTGCAAAATTATTAATCTAACCAACGACATCAGCGTAATCCGAAATGGTGTGCGCTAAGTAATTGCTTATATTTTTTTTTTCAAAGATTTGCAAATTACATTCCATCATCCATTAACAAATTCGTCGATAATTTTTTGTTATAATAATAAAAAAAAACTGATTTTTGAACTAAGCAATATTTAATATTTAATAGTAATTAATTAATTATTTAAGTAATGTTTAAGCAATATTTAAGTAATAAGTAATATTTAAATTAATATTTTTCCCTTTTTTTAATTATTACTTTTAATTTCACTGTTTTTGAATTTTTTTAATCATTAGTGAATGAATTTTTATTAAATTCGAAATGAATCAAATTAGGAATTAAATTTCAAGCAATTTTTATATCTATTTTTGATTTAAAGATGAAATTTTAGATGAAAACTTTTATGTTTTCAAAAATTTCCATAAAATTTATCAGTGCAATGGATACATTTTTTATAAAAAATTGTTCATACGAAACAATAAAAAAATCTGAGACACCAACAATATAATCAAGTTAAAATCCTTGGCATGCCCATAGCGTTCTAGTTCACGCCAAAACAATATAGATAAAGGAGGAAAATACTGATAAAAAGCCATAACTGTGATAACTGGAAATCTCTTTGTTTGTTCTTAACTGAGAGTTTAGCAAATCTAAATTCTCTTCATTTTCATTTGTTGTTACCAAAATTTGGCATAAAAATTATGGTTCTTTTCTTCTAAATAATTTTAATATATATTGCGAATACGAAAAATTAAGGAAAAATGGAGAACTTATGGAGAAAATTATTTCGTTTAAAAAGTAACACATCGGATTGCTTGGATACTCGTCTTCGGCGATGTTTATCAATCGTGGATATCACTTTATTAGGCGTTGGCCATATGATTGGAGCTGGTATTTATGTCCTTACTGGTTTGTTTCACTAGTTCTAAGCTAGATTCTCGTTATATAAAAATGATATTCAAAAGAAAGATACTTTTTTTTTATTTTATTTTAGGATCGGTTGTCCATAACAATGCTGGGCCATCAATTGTTATATCGTTTGCACTTGCGGGAATAGCTTCATTACTTTCAGCATTATGCTATGCAGAATTTGGTGCAAGGTAAAGTCGGTTCTTCACTAAGGCTTATTATTTATTAGTTATAAGCAATTACTAAGCGGTTGGCAGTATTTGAAGTACAGAGGGATTGCATCCGATTTTTGCAAGATAGATTTATCGCTGATGGAAATAGAATCTTATATTTATGTTAATGCTCAGAATATTAATGCTCAGAAATGCTGGCCACAACCCACCGAGCTACTCTATTCAACATTTTGCGTGCCAGGCGAATTGTCCAATTAAATTTGAATATTCATAATTCAATTAAATATGCATTTAAATATGGAAGCACCATTAGCAAGCCTTTTCCATAATATAATATTAATCATTTTTCCGCTTTTATAGAATCACCATTAATTTAATATAGATACCCAAAAGCTGGGAGTGCTTATACGTATGCATATATCGGAGTTGGTGAACTGTGGGCTTTTATCATAGGCTGGAATATTATCCTCGAACATATGTTGGGAGCTGCTGGTAAGCTTTTTTTTAGCAAATTTCCACTTTTCTCAAATTGATTTAAAACAGGTAATTTTTCGTTGTAAATCTGATTTTCAATATAAATTTTGTTTGTATGAAATAACCGTTTTCGTCTTCAACTCTGGTTGGGTTCTGCACATTTCTGGTTGAATTCAATGACTATTGAGACGAAGCAATGGTATAAATGGTTTGCTTACATTAAAGAGGCAGTTACAAGACCAGAATCATCATACATTATTATCCTACATTATATACAAGAAAAAACTTGTTATTCGAGGTAGGACAGACCAAATATAATAATTTTTTATAGCGGTTGCTCGTTCATGGTCTGGTTATTTCAATTCGCTTTTCGCTAGCTCCTCAGCGAATTTTTCGATTATCAATATTGGGCACTTCGACGTTTGATTTTGGGACTTTATTATAAATATTCATTACAAATATTCGGTCTTAATATAAATATTAATCCGGTCTTCATTACAAATATCACATAACACTCAAAAATGAAAACTCCGCAGGCAAAAAAAAATATTTGATAAGCAACTATTAATTACCGGATTTGGCAGATATCGAGAGATCAGCGCATATATTGCTGGACCATCGATCGTGTTTAGATCCAAGTCTTAATTAACCATTCCGTTAAGAAAAAAAAGCCAATTTTATTATAGATTTTAATTTTCTACATTATAAATATTCATTATTATTTATTTCATTATAATTATACTTGTTTAGTTTATATTTAGTCTATACTTAGGAATCCTTATTTGCGGATTATCCTGATCTAATTGCATTTGTCGCAGTTGTTGCTGTTGCTATCTTCACCGGATTCGGCTCGAAAGCATCGACTAATTTCAATTCAGTTTTTACCATTATAAATATGATGGTATCAATTTTTTGCACAATTTTTCATTTTTCACTGTGGTATTTACTTACTAATCGCAATTAGAAAAACTGAAAACTCTGTTCAAAAGCTAATAATTAATAATAATAATAATAATAATAATAATAATAATAATAATAATAATAATAATAATAATAATGATAATAATAAATTTTCTATAGGTAATTGTGTTCATCGTTAGTTATGGATTCACATTCGCAGACACTTCATTATGGTCCGGTTTAGATGAAGAAACTGGTACATCTAAATTTATGCCATTTGGTGTAAATGGAATGCTTGCTGGTGCAGCAAGTTGCTTTTTCGCTTATATTGGTTTTGATGGACTTGCAACCGCTGGCGAAGAAGCTTCTGGTATCGTTTTTTTTATAGGAACGATAAGCGTTTAGCTTGAAAAGTCTTAATTAGAAAGGTTATACAAATTCGAGAAATATAACAATAAAAAAAACATTTGCTTTCTTTACAGATCCATCACGTACAATTCCTTTAGCGACATTTATTTCGATGTCAATAGTAACCACAGCATATATTTGCATGTCAGCAGCATTAACATTAATGATTCCTTATTGGCAGGTAAAAATTATAAAAGATGAATATTTTATTTTTATTCATTAAATATTTATTGACAAAATATTTATTTCATGCTTATTTCACTCGGTCCTCTTCTCTGAAGCGAGTAATCTTATCTCAAGCTGACCTTTACTGACCTCTTTGAAGCGGATAAAATTTAACAGTTTTGTGGCAATAATGCAATATTTTGTGATTTGTAGGCAGAATTATTTAATAAAAATTTTCTGTTTGTTGCTCTATTGAAACTGACCGAAATCGTAGGTGAATCCAAAAGCGGCGTTTTCTGATGCATTTGCTGTGAAAGGGGCCGAATGGGCAAAATATGTCGTCTCGATCGGTGCACTCTCCGGAATGACCACCAGCCTTGTAATTTAAAAATTTTTTTATCGTAAAACTTTTCTTTTCTTTTTAAGATTCAAGTCAAATTATAGATTTAGATCAAATTCCTTGGATTAAAACATGAAAGGCTGTTACAATCAATAAAATTAATTTATCATTAATAATAAACAATAATATTATTAAATGAAGCTTGGTTCAATGTTCGCTTTGCCTCGTTGCGTCTACGCTATGGCAGAGGATGGCCTTTTGTTTAAAACATTCGCACAAATCAACGAAAAAACACAGGCCAGTATATCGTCTCGTCTTCTTTTAGAAAATTTGCATGGAACACTTAAATTAAACCAGTTTTACAAAAATAAGTTAAAATGACTTGAATATATTAAAATATATTTAAAATATATAGAATATATTAAAATATTAATATATAATATATAATATTAAAATATTATTATTAAAATATATTAAAATATATTAAAATATAGTAATATATTAAATATATTAAAATAGTGAATATATTAAAATGTATTTGACTTTTGAAAAATCTGGTAAGATTGGCTGTAACAGAATTTGCAGTAACCGACTTATATACTATAAGGGTTAACCCAAAAAATTCATCGAAATCCAATTGATTGATTACATTGTTGATTTACTGATTGATCGATATTACTACCAAATTGATCATTCCCATTGGTGCTGGCGACTCACTTAAATTTCTCCAAGGGGCTTCTCGGCATATTTGTCCAATGCCACAAGCCAGCGGAGCGAGTTTAATCAGTAATGGTGCAAATTCTTAAAAAAAAAAACTATCAAAATGAAATAGTGTTTAATTTTTATCCACTAATAATTATAACAGAGAGCAAAGCCAATTAATAATTCGTTTAATTGTTTTTATTCGACTTAAGGTACCACAAAATGCTGTAATTGTCTTCGGAGCTCTTACTTCGATTATAGCGCTATTATTCGAGATTGAAACACTCGTTCAGTTTCTCTCAATTGGTACTCTTCTGGCCTACACTATAGTTTCCGCATGTGTCATTGTTCTTAGATATAGACCCATCATTCTTGATGGCAATATTTCCCAAGCCAGTGGTAATTATTATGTATTTTATCGATTTATATTTGAAAAATATGGAACACCTTTTTTATTTTTTGCTAAAACAATATCACAATTATTAAATGAATCGAACAACAAATTTGTATATGATAATTAAGACTTTGACAATTTAGGAGGTCGTATTAAAACATGGTTACCTTGCCAACACTGGTTAAATATTCCACGTCCTGGTTCTACAGTTACGTGGTCAGTTTTCGTTATGATTATTGGAGATTTCGGTATTAGTGCGGCTTTCGCTACTGGATTAGCACATTCGACATTCGGCAAATTTTTAATCGCTTTTTCAGTTATAAATGTAATATTCTCGTTTTTGCTAATTTGCTTACACGATCAAAATCAAGCAAAACTATCATTTAAGGTGATTTTTTATGGTTCTTTGTAATATATTTGGAATATTAAGAAAATTTTCTATTAGTGGATGTTGGAAATTTAGTATTATTTAATGGATTAATTTCGGACTCGAAAATTGGTACCATTTAGTGTAAAAAATTTTAAAATTGAGAAAAACCACGCTTGGGATTCGAATTGATTCTTAAATATATACATTTAAAACCAAGGTAGATTTATAATTCTTCCTATCATTTCTTTTAAATTTTGAAGAAATCCTTATTGCTAAATAGTCGAACATCCAATTACCTCAGTATTATCACAACTGAGAGCTTATTTAAAAATTATTTAAAAACAAGAAAATTAACCGGTATAATGCTAATTTTTCTATATTCTCAGCTATTTCTAACTTGCAGCAGTTGTTTTAAGATGAATAAATCGCAAAAAAAACTTTTAAAATTTTTAATAGTCTCGACTTTCAGGTGCCTCTTGTACCATTGATACCAGCCCTAAGTATGTTGGTTAACATCATGTTAATGCTACATTTAGCTCCGATCACATGGCTTAGACTTATTCTCTGGCTTGCACTCGGTTAGTAAATCTATAAATCTTCGTATGTCAGTTAAATGATTTTATTTTACTTGAAAAATTGCAACTTTTTAATTAAATTTCTATTAAATTAAAAAATTGGAATTTAACTTAATCAAAAATTTTTCAAAATTTTTTCAAAAAAATTTGCGTTAAATTAAAAATCAAATAAATTGAAAATAAATTAAATTAGAAAAAATAAATAAATTCAATACGATTAATTAAAAATTCAATTCACTTGAGAATATAATAACGAATGCGAAAAAATATTATCATTCTATCAATATGAAAAATTTGAAAAAAAGATAAATAAAAAGAATTTAAGGCTTAACTATATATGGAACCTATGGAATAAAATATAGTTGTGAAGCACAGCTCGAAACCGAAGGATTACCAAAGAGCACAACGTATGAAAGTGTTGTTACTGATGGTGGCTAAAAAGTCAAATCGAAGAAAATGATAAATTTTGATATCATTTTGATATGATATCATTTTTGATTAATTATATTTTTGATTAATTAATTTTCTATTTTTGGCTTTAATTCTTTAATTTAAAATAGAAATAGAGAATTTCATATGAGAGACAATATTATTTTTGGTTCATTGGTTTTGGTTTCTGTTTTTGGTTTGGTACAAAATGAGACTTGTTAGAGCCTTTTTGCGCAATTACCGAACAATTCCAAGCCTTCTACATAGATTTTTTATTCAGTTAATGATCCTCGTCGATTCCATATGGTAGTTTTATAAGAAATATATAAAGCTAAAAGGCAAAAAGTATAGAAATTTTCATAGAACGGAGAGCACTTTAATGAAAAATATCAAAGGATAACTAGCGGATAAATGAATTTAGTTACTTATAAAGCAGAACTTAGAAATGAATCTAGCAATACTTATTTTGGCTTTAGGGCTTAGCCAAATTTTTCAATGGAAAACATAAATGAGCCAATAAATTATTAATCTTCTTCAATTAAATGGTCGCCAATTCAATGGCCAAAAAAAAAAAAAAATATTTTTTATTTCATAAATTTTCCTTATTTTCCATTATTTCCGCTCTTTCTTCTACGGACTTTTATCGCTTTGTTTTATCAATCTGTGATTTCTAAAATACGCGTAATTTGTTAAACGATTATGGCATTTTTCATGTTTTTATTATTCTTTTAATTTTTCTATCGCCATTTTTTCGATTTAAATTCCATTTTCTTCAATTATAATCATAATATTCCACGCGATAATTTCTATGATATTTCTAATTCAGAATAGCGAATTCCTATTGATAAATCTCTTTTTTATAAAAAATACAATTTTAATATTATAAAATGACGGAATTATATTACGAAAAATATTAAATCCTAAGAGAAAATTCCGAAAATTTCGACATGCAATTGCATAAACATGCAATTACAAACATGCAATTGCAAATCGTTTATTTTTAAAAAAGTTCTATTCACTTTTTTCCAACTATCATAATTTTCCTAAAATTTCAATGAAATTCCTTGAAAAAAATCAACAAAAAAACATAAATGCACTAAATAAATCTGCAAGCAATATTTCTTGCACAACTTGTTGGTTAGGCTGGGCCTTGCTGGCTATAAAAATGGCCATAACGCTTCCAATCTCAATTCAATGCCACATCCGAAAGGGACAGAAGCCAATCTTTTTTCCAACGATATCCAAATACGATTTGTTTTCAATATTTTTAATGTTTCTTTTAATTGTGCTAATCGAGGTGCTGAATTCTCCTCTTCGCTTTTGACGTGGTCCACCTTAGGACTCAGCAAAAAAAAACTGTGACGCCTATGATTGACGACGAAGAATATTGCCTAATAACCAGCGTTTTTTCCAAAAAATAATATTGCATATGATTCGCAAGTAATTATTTTTTTGCATAAAAAAAACTATGGAGCAATTAACTCTCAACTCATTTTATATCACTTTTTCATTTTAATATTTCAATAATCTCGTAAAATAATAAAATCAATAAAGAAAATTTAATGATTTGAGAAAATATATTCGAAAAAAACAAGACAATTATATGGAAAGAATCTTCAAAAAAGTTGAGAACAAAGTGAAAATGCGGTAGCTTAAATGCGGTAAAAAGTATTTAAAAAAATCCTTTAAAAAAAAGCGAGTCATCACGGCATTAATGATAATAATGACGATAATAACGATAAATATTGGCAAATTCATAATAAAAATTAAAAAACCAAAAATTTTGTCAAAAAAGAAAAATGAGAAAAATTAATAGATGACCCGCAAAAATAATAAGAAAAACAATATCGATACTAATAAGTTCAGGAAAAACGGAGGATTTAATTAAGTTAAGAATGAATTTACTGATAATTTAGTAAGGCACAGGAAAATATTTTTCTCGAATATAATGAAACAAACATTGAACTAAAGATAAATTAAGAAAATTTATAACTGAATTTAAGCAACCTAAATTATCAGTTGTTATCAGTAAATTCGAATTTTCAATCTTGAAGAAAACTAAAGTTAAATTATCGAAAATAGAAAAAGAAAAATATGAATTTTAAAGATAAGAGACAACAATTTACTGATTTATGAATTACCCATAAAAAAAAGCAAAATGAAAATGAGAATATTTCAAAAATCGTCAAGGATTACTGAGCAGTTATTGGCAAGACAAAAAAAAAAACGCAAAATATATTTAAAAAATTACAAAAATAAATAAATAAATAAATGCGATAAAAATATTTCATGAATTATTTTTCTAAATATTCTTCCAACTTCAGCACTCATTTCATGGAAAATATAAAAAACGACTAAAAAAATAATTTTTCGGTCATTCATAACTTTGTAATTTTTAAGAATTTGTAATTTTAAGTATTTAAGTTGTATAAATTCCACTAATTATAATAGATTCTTTGTCAACAAAAAAAATCAGTGATGAAGGTAAAAAAACTCTAATCTAGGCGAATCTCCAAATAAAAATTCATATTCTGAATTGAAAAATCAAAATAAGAACAAGAAAATAAAATGTAAATAAAAAAAATTGAACTATTTAAAAAAAACGGATGATTACGATGATTACTTAGAAATTTTAAAGGTTTCCTTCTTTTAAGCGTAAAGGTTCGAAATAAAATTTCATTTAGTTATATCTCCAATAGAAATGCGAATAGCCCGCGAGAGAAGGGGAGGGGGTGGGGGAGGGGGTGGGAAGAAATATAAGAATATCAACAAATATTGTAGAAAAATTAATTTGCACAAAAATATACAAAAAATTAATAAACGAATGGATAATCAAAATCACCATAGAAATTCTAGCAGTTCCACAATCGTGGATCTAAAAACAACAACAATGACTATCATTCTAATATAAGGCATATCATATCATAAATAATTGTGACATGAAAAAAATTTACAAAAATCACAAAAAAAGAAATAAAAACGCAAAATTCTATTCCTTCCTTTCAGAATTATTTTATTATTAATAATTAGATAATAAATAATCGATCTGAAAATGCCGAAATGGAATTCAAAAATGAATAATTCTAAATGTCAAGTTCAACTATTTAGCGTAAGTAATATAATCCATTTTTTCGTTAAATTCATGGAATATAACTGGCATGATTAGTCCATACAATAATTATATAGTAGGCTTCATTTATATGCATATTGCTTATCGTTTCGCTTATACTGCACTTTAAGCCGTTTATTTGAGGAAACGACGAGGCCATTAAGTGCACCAATTGCGTTTCGTGCAGATTTGATATTATCATAGCTTACGAAACCTGAAATATAAAAAAAGAAAATAAGAAAATTAGCTCGTTAAATTAAATTAAGATAATTGCGAAATTTTAGGACAATACTTGGATCAATTCTTTGAATTTATTAATTTTTCATTAATTGAATTTTTATTAAGTCGAAACAACCATTTCAAAAAAAGACTAACCAAAGCATTTGCTTAAATTCGTTGCTGGATTTCTGAACACTTTGGTTGATATGATTTTTCCATGCGGCGAAAACAGCCTTACCAAATCAGACTCATCATAATCTGGAGGAAGATGATAGACGAAAAGATTACATCCTTCTGGACCAGGCGTGCTACTCGCTACACCTGTATTATTATTTACGTTGAGAAATTGAACAGCATTATTATTGACGCCAAGAAGTTGCACGGCTACATTATTCGAACCAAGAAACTGAGCAGCATTATTATTGTTTAGAACGTGACTAGTGCTACCATTTCCATTCAGAAGTTGCACCGGATTACTATTACCGGTAAAAAGTGACGATGTTGGCAAATTTTGAAAATGAGTATCTGGAAATGAAAAATATAAAAAAATTTTTGGCTTTCTAAAGAAATATGATACATCGAAAAAAATTTGAATGAATCATTTTTATCTAAAAATTTGAAAAAAAGTTAACAGCGAGTAATAGACAAATAAGGATTCCACTTCTGGAAAAAATTTATATAGTGTTAACCGTTCTTAAATCTCTACCTTCAAATGACTCTCTGGTAAAATTTGCATAAAACTGGCTCAATGGAGCAAATCTAATCAGAAATGGTGAGAGCTTTTAGAAAAAAAAATAAGGAAATGATAGAATAAAAATCGGCTAAATTAATTAAAAAATGTTTTGGAAAAAAAGCTAACTTGCGTATGAAAAACTAGGATATGTCGTTTGCAGAACATCAAACCCATTGGACGGATTGTTTATCAGTGGAATTAAATTATTACTATGAATAGTATTGCGAAGATCGTTTGTTGGTGTTATCGCTGGTGCTATACCTAAAAAAAAAAATTGGAAAGACTTTTATTAAACTAAGACTTTTAAAAAATAATTAATTCACTGATTTTAAAATAAAAATAAACCTTCAAATAAAGAATGAAAAAAGAAGAACCTGTAAGAACTGAAGGCGATACTTGAATATTTGAATCAGAAGAAGAATCCGAAAATGCGAAATTTGTTTGATTCTGATTAGCCAAAAGATCAACAGAAGAAGAGTTCAATGCTAAAATTAATAAAATCAAGCACCACACAAAAATCTTAAGGACTCCGAAAAAACGTGAAAAAAGAATAAAAGAAGTGAGCCTAGGAAGGAATGCTTGGCCCATATTCAATAACATTCTTCGTAAATATTTTTTGGTTTTATATTATTTGAATGGTACTATAATACTGGCAATTAAACTACGCAGTATAAACTTTTATTAACTTACTATTATTATTTTGCGATTGTAATTGAAATGTTGGAATTTGCTGAGCAATAAGCTCAATTAGTCTTTGTTGTGCTAATTGTTGCTGTTGCTGTTGCTGTTGAGCCGCTAAAAAAATTCTACCTTTTAACAATTTTTTTTCTATTTAAAGAGTCATAACCATTACTGGTTAGACTCACTCCACTGGCTTGTCGCATTGGACAATAAGCTAGAGAATCCCTTGGCTATAGAAATACAGGTGAATCGCCAGCATCACCTGGATTTTTGTACAGGTTTACTCCTGCGGGGAATCGAACCTCAGCATCGGCGCTCCCGATTGAGCAACAGGCCACTGAGCCATTCTATCCCCTACCTTTTAGCAATATAAATTACAAATAATATAATATTAAAAAAAATGGATTTAAAAAAAGAATGAAATCTATTTGCAATGATATTTATGAAAAATTACAATTTATACGATTTTTAAAAAATAAAAAAAAATTTACCAATTTAAAAGAAATCTAAGACTTTATTTTTTCCAACTTTAGTAAATAATTCCTTTTTTTTTATAAATTACAACCAATAAATGAAATTTAAAAAAAGAAAAGATTTACCAGCGAGAATATTAAGTAAAGCAGGCTGCGGTTGCAAGGAGAAAAGACCGTAAGTGGCTAAATTAATTAACGCCTAAAAATAGAAAATGATAATGGAAATGAAATTTTTTTAAAAATTTCACCAACCATATGAAAATAATTCTAAATGATAAGGAAATCCGATAGTTTGATCAGTGATAAACAAAGAAATATTCAATATTGATATTATCGTAAATAATCACTAATTATCATTAATTATCGTAAATAATCACTTGTTGAAGTTCGCCTTGATTTAACGTTGTCGATGAATTCGGTAGGGAATTTGACGGTGGTGTTTTACGTTTTTTCGCTTCTTTCTCCCTTTGCGTGTCAGCAAATTTTACTACAATCGGCTTTGAGCAACCCTAAAATTTATTTTAAAAATAATAAATCATACAATTCAAACATAAAAAAATCAACAATAAAATCAGTGTCTATTTGAAAAATTTCAAAAGAACGAATCGTTTTTTCCAGTGAATTTTCAAATTTATCTAAAATCAAAAACAACTTAATAAATTTAAAAAATTTATGTAAAAAAAAAGAAATTTAATTCGACCACATCCTTTCTTTTTTCTTATTTTTTCACTGAAATCCAATATCAAAGAATCAAAAAAAACGAACTAATTTTCACTTTTAAAAAGAAAATTATTTTTAAATATTTTAATGAAAAAATTGAAAAAAAAATTTCACAAAAAATTGTGCAAAATTAAACTATATAGAAAAAAATTTTTTAATATTAGCAAAAATGAAGAATCAATTTTTTTTTTTTTTACGTTTATCTCACATGCATGTTAAATAATTCATTCATTTTCCTAGAATTTCATTAGCAATAATAAGAAGCATTAACGTTTTCATGAATAAGGAGATAAAAGAGATAAAAGACGCGTATAAGTTGGTGTTGGTGCAAGGAATGAAAATCAAAACAAGCGACAGATAATACCTCCATTGTCTGGGAAGCGTGCATTTGCTTGATGGCTGCTTGAGCATATGAACGTTGAGTAAAAGTCACAAACGCACATCCTGGAACAAAAAATACATTCGCAATACACAAGGACCACAGTGGACCCGAAAAAAAAACTCTTTTCTGATTTTAGACTAAAAAAAAAAAAACTTCACGATTTACAACATTTCAACATTCTCAAAAAGTTAATATATACATAATTCACATATGGTAAAAGAAAATTGAAAAATTCATTTATTATTCAGTTTTCATTTAAAAAAAACGAATATATTAGTGCAATTCACCCACAATAATTTTGATAAATTTCCAGCTTTTTTATTTTTTACGAATATAAAAATTCTTTTTTTTTCAACAACCAACAGAAACAATTAGATTTGTTGTTCTTTTTTTTCTTTTTTTCAAAAAAACAAGCAAAAATAGCAAAATCGCTGTTGAATAATAATCATCAAGAAATGAAAAATCGTTTTTCTTCACATAGAACAAACATAAATGATGATTTGTGATTTAAATTAGCAAAAAACAATGATTCGTTGGACAAATAAAGCATTTTAAGAAGGCATTTTATTTGTCGTTCTTCTATAGGAAAGCCTTTGAAAAAAAAGAGAAAAAAAGAAGGAAAATTCCGAAAAAAAAAAAATCTCTGGAATCATTAAAATTATTCTATTAAAAATCTACTTAAATTAGCTCTAATAATTGATAAAAATCAACCTTTAAAGCCGATAATTTTTTTTTCGATTATTTAAGAAAAGAAGAGAAAATTTCGCTGAAATTTTCAAAAAGTGGAATCATTCAATTTTTTTAAAATATAAATTTATATCTTAAAAAAATTTTTAAAAAAAATATTCAGCGACGAAAAAAAAACAAAATTTTCGAAATTTTTATAAATTCATAAATTTAAAATGAAAAAATCAGGAAAATCTGAAAAAAACATTGATAAATGTAAAGCAATAAAAAATTGGTTGAAAATTGGCAAAAATAAATTAAAAATGGTGGTTTTTTTTTTATTTGGAATTATTTATAAATTCGACTAAAAGGAATAAAATTTAAGGTTAATTTTTCGAATAACTAAAAAATTCGGAAATTCTTTGCGAAACAATTCGGAAATTTAGGCGACGCCAACGATGACGACGACGATCATCTTTAATAAACTTGTAAATCCATTTTTGGCCTTTCTTTATAAATTCTAAAAACAGCAATAACAACAAACAACAAACAATAATTTGCATTAAAAAAAATTAGTGCACATTTATAAGAATTGAAAAAAACAAAAGAAAATATGAAGCAAAAGCAGACAGTTGAAAATGTCGGGAAAAAAACGTGAATTAAAGCAACAATGAATAAAAAATAGAAAAAACCCCAATCAAAAAAAAATATCGAAACAATAACATGCTTAATCGCTATTCCGCAAGAAATATTTTTAAAATGGTACTTTTTTAGTGGTACTTTAGTGGTACTTCATGGTAAAGTGGTAAAGTCAATTAACTTAAGGATGAATCATTGTCAGTATAGAAATATAAATAAATTAAGGAGCTTTCATTATAATATCTTCCTGTGTATAAGACTCTCCTGTCTAATATTCTTCTTCATACAACAAGCAACACTTCTTCACTTGGCCGACGCTTTCCACTAATAAACTGACTTGAGCAGAAGTCATACGGGCATAACTATGCACTATCCGAATTCCATTCCATAAGACATATCTACTTCAAGGACAGCACTTATAACCGAAACCATTTCAGCCATTCTCTCTTCTCTTCTCTCTCTTCAACCTCTCCCATTCATAAGTGGTGGTCTCGGAGTAATACAGAAAAAAATCTAGCTGAAATTCCTCAACAAGGTCCAATAAAAAATATACCATCCAGTGGATCTGATAATCCAGATAGAAAAATAGATAAAAAAACTTTTACCTCTACTCTTGCCTTCGACGTCTTTCAGCACGCTACAATCTTCTATTGTACCAAAACTTTCGAACATTGAACGGATATTTTCCTCGTTCATTTGCTTACTTATCATTCCGACAAATAATTTTCGTTCTGTAAAAATTATTCGCCAATATATTTACGATTAATTCGAGTTATCAAATTAATATCAAAATTTGGAGAAGATTTCTGCATTTGTCAAAAATTAATAATGAAAAAAGAGAGAACCTCGGATTCTCCACCAGAGTCTTGCGAGTTTGAGGGTTCCGCAAATTATCTTAAGAGTTCTTCCTAGCAATGCGCTCTTCTAAGCAAGGATCTCTCATGTTCTTATATCATACTCTAAAATCTATTGAAGCCACTTTTCTAGCTAGGGGGTAATAGCCTACCAATACTGCTAATGCTTCTATCGACATTAGAACTATTTTATTTTTTCTCTTTCTATATCTCTATTTCCTCTTTTGGTTCCTGGCTAGTTTCTCATATTCCTTCTTCTGGAACTCAAAACAAAGGAGAAAAAGCAAGAATAATTCTAATTATTAATAAAACATGACTTATGACTTCAGGGTGCTTTTTATTTTCTTTAAATACTGTGAATATGAAAAGTTTAGGCCAAAAAGAAATTTCTTCGCGCCTAATTTTTCGCTATTTTCCAAGGAATTTCATTTTAAGATAAATCTTTCCAATATCAAAAAAATTATATTGTTCTCCTTAAAAATTGCACCACCAATTTTTAGTAAAAAAAGAGCCTAAATCGAATCAATAAAAGAAAATTTCTCCGCTACGAGTAATGAAAAATATTATTTAAATAATATTGTAGAAAATAATAAATAATACTGTAGAAAAATGAGTTTAAAACAGATTTATTTTGATAGAAAAAAAAGAAATTTGAAAATTCACAATTTACTGTACAAATTTTTTAAAAATTTGTATAAAATAAATATTTACAAAGTGAATATCAAACATAATTTTTCCGATAAAAGTGATAATTGATAAAGTAATAAGTAATAAAGTAAGTAAGTAATCAAACCATTTCTATTTTCAGCATCAGCAGGCTTAATTTGAATTGGATGATGCATCGAAGGTAAAGTAACAATATCGTGAAGCTCATTCACTGCTCTTGTCGCATCTGCACGCCTATAGTACTTTACAAAACAGCAACCTGGAATGCAATATCATAAAAGATTAAAAAGATTACCAATCTATTACAACAATTCCTAATTCGCGATTTGTCGCGAAGATATATCGTTTATCACTCTCACTCACGTTACGCGGAATTCCAAATTACGCGGAGGATTTTTAAACAAAAAAAGCCAACCTCGACTTACTTGCGTAGCTTTATCTCGAAGAATATTTATAGTAAAAACTCGTCCATATTTTTCAAAAAATTTACGACAGTCATCTTCGTTCCATGAACGAGGTATCTGAAATGAAAATAGCAAATAATTTCCAATATCCCATAATAATGTTCGCAATAATTTATGGCTATAAAACAATAGGCGAACCTGTCCGGCAAATAATTTTATCGTATCTACATCGGGTTTATCGTCAGTCGTTGAATTTTGCGTTGAACGATTCAAATGACCGTTTACACTGGTAGCAGCACCACTGTTACTACTGATAACACTACTGATGTTATTATTCATTTTACTGCAAAATTATTAATTTAAATTATTGAAAAAAAACATCAAAATTGGGTTTCATTAAAAAAACGACACGTTAAATCTTTTATTTCTAAAATATTTGATAAAAATTTTTCAAATATAAGCAAAAATATAAATTAAAAATGACGAATAAATTCGCATATCGAAATATTAAATTTTTTTTTCTTTTTTGAAACAAAAACGAAAATAAATGAAAAAATTTTCACTCGAGAAATTTTCTCGTTATTATGATGCGCAATTAATGAAGAATGAATGAAATGTTTTATTAAAATCCGAAATCTTCTTTCGACCTAAATTTATCAAAATTTTATCACTAAAATTTTATCAATAAAATTATCTTTATCATAGAAAATTCATAATTTAAATGCTATCATAATTCATTCAATTAATTTAATTTGATTAATCGAATAGAAAAAAAATTTTTTTCACTTCTTATTGTTTTATCTGCTTTATTCATTATTTATAATTATTTAAGATTAATAATCTGCTAAATAACTGCTTATATATTGCAAATTGCGAAATCTCAGATAGCCTCGTCGAAAAGCTCTTTGCTATCTCCTCAAAATATCTTTCTTCAAAACCCCTCCACTGAAATTTTCTGCCAGAAGGCACTAGTAGTAATATAAAAGTTTCAACCCTTTAAAGCTTTAACTACAGCTTATCACCTTTAATCTTTTTTAACAGTTCACCTTAATCGCAGCCAAAATATAAGAATCGATGACTGTGATTGCAGGTAGAGGATTTAAAGGATTTGTTAAAGGATTTTAGGTCAAGTGATAAAGCAATATAATTCGAAGAGATACTAGAAGAATACAACGAGATTTGAGGAGATGTTAAATACTCCGGGTTGTTTCAAGTTCCAACTAATATATTTAAAAAAAAAAATAGTTCATATTATACCACAAAAGAAAAGAAAATATAAAAAAATCCAAAAAAAAGATCCAAAAATTTTTTTTCCTAAAAATTTCGATATTTTTATTCGAACAAAAATGGACAATTTCTATATTAACAAATGATATCAACAAAAAACCAGTTGAAAAAAACCCGCCAATCATTATTATTAGTACCGATAGCCAGTTCTCTATCATCCAAATCAATTGTTTTTATGTTACATTTACATTTAATATATCAAATATTGCATAAAACCTCATTCAAAAAATCTAAGGCCTATTTAATCTTACACGATTACTAGGCTATTAGGCTTAGGCTACAGGCTATTGAGCCAGGCTAATAATCTCATTGATCAGTAGATTTTGATTGAAATATTTTCGAACCAATAAATAATATTTTTAAAACAAATTCGATAGAAAAAATTTTAAATAACCAAAATTTGAAAACATAAAACACTTAAAATAAAAAAATAAAATTAATTAATTATTTATCAAGTTTATCAATTTGTTTAAATCAATGTTCAAAAATATTTATTCTGAATTTCTGAATTTCTGAAGCCTTAATTTGGACTTAAACTTATTCAGTTTAGAAATTGCATGGAACTAACTAATTGGTACAACTTTTCCAGTATCTACAAATAATAAAAATAACAAAGAAATAGTGAAAACCTGGAGTACTTCGCAAAAGACCTGGGAGACTGAAAATTCTGCGCAGTATCTTAGCAAGACAGATGCCCTTTTCAAGTCAGATCTCTGATACTGTTCAGGAATCTGTTGGAGCCAATTTTCTAGCTTATAGGATAACTATTAAGACTAGTTTCGCCTTCACTTTCCACATCTCTAGCTTCTTTTCCAGCCCCACATATTTCTCTAGCTTTTCTCATTCGATCTTCCTTTTCCATTATCTATCACCAGTCAGCACCTTGAGCTTTAATGCGATGGATCTGGTGCTCAATATCTATTTTTGCGATGTCATGATCAATGCTCCAGTGCTATCTTTTGGCTTTTTCCAATCATTGGAAGAGTTTCTCAATATCAGTTATTAGAAATTTGTCAATGGCACCTCCCATAGAAAATTTTGCCTTGCCATGGCACTTCTTCTGCTTAATTTTTCTCTGCTGCTGCTTAAGGCATTTATTAGCAGCTCATCTTTTGGTGTCACCTTATGTAATCCTGAATGCTCAGAGGTTTAGGATAATGGTTTTGATACCTGTCAAGTCCTATCCGATTTCTTTCTCGCTGCTGGTGTACCATCTTTGAAATGAAAATTTCTATGCATTCTGAGGAGTTTCGAGATAAATTGTTGGATAAATTGGCCTCCATGTTTTTCTTTGGCCATTTCACTATAATAGCAGCGTATCTGATATGTTTGTGGCGTGGATCTTGCTTTTCCTATTGAAATAGCTCTTCAGATCTGCTATATTATTTGATAATAATAGGCTCTGTTATCATTCTCGTCATCAAGATTCTTAAGTGACTGTGGAATATCAAAATATTTGTAGTTAGCCCCTAAATCAGTTATATTTGCAGCTGATAGTGTCCTTAACTAGTTTCCCTCTTTTCCAATCACACTTCTCCAGTCCGTACAACATCCCAATGTCCTCATTTTTTGATGAATGAGCGACTCTCTTCCGATCTTAGCTTATCATCCAATGTCATCCATTTAAAGAAAATGGCTAGTTGTAGTTTCTCATTTGAGACTGTCTCCATATCTCCACTTCTCTTGTTTATCTGGCTGGAAATTTTTAGACTTATATAGCAAAAGAAGCCGTTTTTAGTCGACTTCTGTTGCTATTTTCCATCTCATTCTGTTCTTTCGGGTTCTGTCAACCTCATATAACGCCAGAAATTTACAGAAATTAGCCCTATACGTAGGACATTCAGCCATAGACTATTCTATAGTCAATTCAAGCCATACTCGAATTGATTTTTCGAGATGTCAGCTCTTCAATGACCGCTGCTCGATCTATAAGCAGCTGATATTTCCAGCTTCTAGAGTTTTTTCCAATTCCCCTATATTGGTTCATATGGTTTTGAATATATTTATTTAATTATACATAAATTTCCAAGAATATTTATATTCGCTATTTATAAATATAAATATAAAATAAATTTATAAATATAAATTTACAAATTTATAAATATAAAATACAAATATAATATAATATAAAATTTGCAAATATAAATAAATTTTTTTTAAAAATTTCATCGAAACTGAAAATATTAATATTTTACAAATTCTACAATTCAAAATCAATGCTTTAAAAAACATATCTCTGTAATTTTGCAATATAACGTGATTTATTTAAAAAAAAAATGGAACTATTAGTCGAAAAATTAAGATCGTTCAAGAAATCTAAAAAATCAATTAATTTCTGGAAAAAAAAGACCCAGGAAAAATGCAAATAAATAACGAGGAACTCATTATTTTTATATGAGATGCCTAATAATGTAACCGAAAGGCCAGAAACGGTTCCAAAGAATTTTCGACAATTAATAATTATTTTCACTAAAATAATTTTCACTAGTGATTTCGCTAGATACAATGATCATTTATAGAATGGAATGAAACGCTTCCATAAGAAAGTCAAAAGTACAGACGAATTCTCAAAAATACAAAATTTATGCTGATAATTAATCTAAAATGACTGATAAGAAGAAATGAAGAATTGGAAATATTATTTAATATTAATATTTAAAATAAAAATAATAGAATAGTGCTGGCGACTCCTTTTGCCTATTTTTATCGCTATTGATTCTATTCGCTAGCAAAATTTAGTAGCAGATAGCCAAGTTAATGAAAGCTCGTCTTATTTATTACTTATTACAGAAGATTAGATAAAAGATTTGACGTTGGCTTCGCTTATTATTACAGAATTATTAGAAAATATTCAATAAAGAAGAAAAGAAAAAGTAGAAAAACGAAAACAAAAACTAATCCTCTTAATTCAATCTTCTTATTAAAAATTTAATAAGTTTTATTTTAAAAAAGCCATTTATTTTTACATTTATTTTAAGGTTTCTTTCATGGAAATTTAAAAAAAAAATATTAAATTCCTAAAAAAAATTTCCTCTATTTTATTAAAAAATCGTTTTTAATAAGTAATTTATAAATTATATATATATTTTGAATAAAAAATTTAGATCGATTTATAATTTTTCGATATAAATCTCGTGTTCTCGCCTCGCCAACTGTATTGTATCGCTTATCACCGTGGCAGAAGTTGGTCAATTACTAGAGAAATTCGAGGTAGTACTGGTGCCGGAAGCTAAACGAGAACTTCCACCCACAATTCATTCTCTCTAGCTAGATTCTCCATTCTAAAAGAGAAAAAGCTAATCGGATCGGAGTTAATGGTTAATAGCAGCAGAGCAACTAAAACGATTGCAAACCACATAGATATTCAAATAATCGAGTAATTCTTGGCTTAGTAAATTTTGTTCTAAAGATAACTGAAAAATTGTAAAAATTGTAATAAATCAATAAATAAAGCGACTGTGTTCGTTGAGTTCTAAAACGCCTCGGGCAACTGTTTTATATTTCTTTTTCTTTGATCACTAGAATTTGTAGAATATCCTCTAATAATAAATAAATAAAAATAGTCAGAATCGGTTAATAAATTTTTCAATCTGTTAATATAAACTAATTTAAATTTTAAATTCAAATCAAATAATAATAATTTTACATGTAATTAATATTTAATTTTGATTTATTAAATAGAAGTGATAAAGTTTAATAATTTAAAATTTTGTTAAAATAATCTAACTAAATTTAGAAAATTGGATTATTTTATTATAATATAATTAGTTTATTTAGATTATTTTATTATAATATAATATAATATAATATATTATTATAATTTAATATAATTTATAATTAGAATATAGATTATTTTATTATTTCAATCTTAATAAAGAAGATTAAATAATTAGTTCGATTTCCTCTGGCAAAAATTTCTAAAAGTCATAAATCAGCGATAAGCCAGTGGAACCAGCCAAAGGTAAATGAGAAAAATCCAAATGATTCTCTGGCAAAATAAAACGGCCAACCTAACGCGAAATACAACGACTTAATAAATTAAATTTAATAAA